GGGGGGTGAGAGAGGCGGAGGCCAGGAGGGGGGGGGCGTTGGAAGCGGTAAGGGGACGAGTTTGGGAGGGGGAGTGGGGGGGGGGGGGGCCAGGGCGGGCGCGGCCATGGGAACCCCTGAAAAACACTCAAGATTGGAGGCCACGGCGGAGGACAGGGGAGTGGGAGGGGGTGGGGGGCGGGGTGGGAGTGGGGGGTGGGGTGGGTGGGTGCGGGTGGAGTGAAGGAATGTCGGGGGTGGGGGTGGGGTGGGGGGGGGGGTGACTGTGGAGGGGGGAGTGAGGGTTGGTGTTGGATTAGGGAGTGAGGGGCGGAGGGGAGCCGTGGGGCCAGAACCCATGGATCCATGAGGGGCATGGGCGGCGGGGCAGGGTGCGTGAGGGGTAAGGGGAAGGGAGCTGGGTCCATGAGGGGTAGGTCAAGGGGATGGAGAGTGGAGCTTTGGATGGGGTGGAGTAGGTGGTGGGGGTGGAGCAGCTCAAGGGATGAAGAATAGGACCAGGAGCCATGGGTCCATGAAAAGCATGGCGGGGTGCGTGGGGGGCTTGGGCAAGGGGAATGTATGCGGAGCGGGAAGGGCGGATGGGCGGGGAGCGGGTGCGTGGGTGGTGGGGGTAGGGGCGGAGGGGAGCCGTGGGGCCAGAACCCATGGATCCATAAGGGGCATGGGCGGCGGGGCAGGGTGCGTGAGGGGTAAGGGGTAGGGAGCTGGGTCCATGAAGGGTAGGTCAAGGGGATGGAGAGTGGAGCTTTGGATGGGGTGGAGTAGGTGGTGGGGGTGGAGCAGCTCAAGGGATGAAGAATAGGACCAGGAGCCATGGGTCCATGAAAAGCATGGCGGGGTGCGTGGGGGGCTTGCGCAAGGGGAATGTATGCGGAGCGGGAAGGGCGGATGGGCGGGGAGCGGGTGCGTGGGTGGTGGGGGTAGGGGCGGAGGGGAGCCGTGGGGCCAGAACCCATGGATCCATGAGGGGCATGGGCGGCGGGGCAGGGTGCGTGAGGGGTAAGGGGTAGGGAGCTGGGTCCATGAGGGGTAGGTCAAGGGGATGGAGAGTGGGAGCATGGGCCAGAGCTTTGGATGGGGTGGAGTAGGTGGTAGGGGCAATGGGTCTTCACTGACGCCGCCCCCGGCTGGGGTCGGCGGATATTCACATGGGAGGGAGGGGAGGAAGGGGAGGGAGGAGGGGGAGGAGAGGGAGGACCTGGGACACCACGAAGGATCCCCCCGAGACGAGATGCACGAAGAACCCATCCAAGAGCCGTCTTTTTTTTTGAAATGCAGAGGGAAAGTGAGCCCCTGCCAAAACAAGTGCTACTTGGCTTGTTTGCGATGCTTGGGACACCTCTTGACTTCTGCGCGCCTTGAAGTGCGAACGGTGAGCCGAGAGCGGGCCCACAACACCCGGGTGCTGCTGCCCAGCGATCTGATTCTCTCTTCACATCTCTTCTACTGTGAACACAAGGCATTGTTTAAACTGCAAACTGCTACAGTACCCATCCCTGAAATGCTTAAAGAGAATCAGAAGCATCAAGAATCCGGCCTGGGGCTTTCGCGATGATGCATCTGCGCAGCTTCGCCCCGTGGGTCGATGGACAACCTGGCCGTCTCATCGTCCAAGTGATCTTCTTGCCGAGTCCTTTACCAGCTGAGGGTGAAGCAGATGAGTTGGAGGTCTGCCACCCTAGGCTGCACATGGGCACTTTCGGGAAGACAAGTGCAGGCAAAGATATTTCCTTCCTGAGGCCTCTTTTCGTTTATGGTACCGGGCTTGCATAACAGACGGCCCGTGGAGGAAACCGTGTTGCCCCCCAATGAATATAAAACCAACTCTGTTTCGCTGGATTGTGCGAAGCCCATGCAACTCCCCAGTCCTCCGTGCGAGCTCACAAAAAGCTCACTTGTGGGTCTGTCCCTGTGAATGCAGTTCCCCTTGCCAGCCGTTATGGGCTACTTTGCCTTCATCATCTGGAGTCTCATTGTTCGGATCGAGGCCCCCCGGCGTTTCAAAATGTTCGAAGGTTCTCTTGGGTAGTCAGCTCTCCTGCTGCATGTATGTCAGGCAGGAGAACTGGGACAGCCATCACTTCTGAGAGACCAGGATGCGACATGGTGCAACATGTTTCATTGCTCGTCGCTTCTGGCTGCCTCAGCATTGTGCATTGTGGATTTGCAACACCTCCAAACTGGCCAGGAGCTTGCGGAGAGGGCTGGAGCTCTCGGCGATCCGTGGCAAGGGCCCTTGCCGTGTGTGTGTGTGTGTGTGTGTGTGTGTGTGTGTGTGTGTGTGTGTGTGTGTGTGTGTGTGTGTGTGTGTGTGTGTGTGTGTGTGTGGTTGGCTGATTGTTGTGTGTGTGTGGTTGTGTTGGTAACGGCGTGGGGGCACGTCTGGGCAAACGCGCCTGCGAGGCTGTTTGTGAATGCGCCTGGGAGCGACCCGAACAGCCTCCTGCGACCAAACGCATGCCCCCGAGCTGGGTCGTTGCTGTCAACGGCTCACCGATACAGAAGAGAGAGGCGTGCGGATATGTGCAGATGCTTCCGAGGAATTCAGGGGGCACGGCCCAGCCACAGCCTGAGTCAGCCTGATCAGCCTCAGCCCGAGCGACCCAGCCTTAGAAGCCTCGGTGCCTCCACCAAAGGCCGGCCCCACTCCCTTTTCCGGAGTCCCCAGAAACCTGGAAGAGCAGGTGCCACTTCCGGTGCTCGTTGAGCTTGCGCTATCCTTGTGCTGACCAATGCAGGCGCCGGGACCGCAAACGACGGAGCCGTTTCAGGGGACGCCATATCGCCTGGAGTGCCACGAACTGAGTTTCGTTTCACTGCTGCTGCTGCTGCTGCTGCTGAAACTGTCGGTCGTGTCGCCTGTCCAGGATGCAGAGCGGTGCTGAAGAGTACTGAGTTCCCCGCCTCGCTCAATTTGCACACCTTACCGGCTTAGCGGGCTTAGCGGGCTTCGCAGGCTTAGCACAAGTCTGGGAAATTTCACCGCTGCACATCAGCAAAACATTCCACGTCTAAGTCTGCGCGGTCAATTTGTAGATCAAAGAGTCTCGAAAGTAAGAAGGTTTCACTTGCATCTACATGCATTGACGTGGAATGAACAAAGGCAGGCGTTTGGATGGTTGCCTGACCTGTTCATGTGTCCAGTTGCTGGCTTGTGATTGTTGGCTGGGATTTGGAGTATCTGCTGGAGATCTCTGATTTCTTCTAGACTTCCAGACCTCTCGGGCCTTCGATGCCCAAATTAGGAGATGGGCTCTTGACAACGCATTTTGAACCCGGGTGGTTTTGCATCTGTTGGGTCGGGTCGGGGCACGCGGTGAGGCGACCCTTGGCAACCCATTTCCGAAGGGCGGCCGGACGGGAGCGACGTGTTTAGTTTCGTCACGGCGCGTTCGCTAGGTTTTGGCAGGGGAGGTTCGGAGTTGGCTGAAGAAGGCTGACGAGATCGGGGTAACGCTGATGTTGCATTTACTTGGCCGTTGTCACTCCATGTTTGTGCTTTGACGCTTTTGGGAAGAGTGGTGGTGTTGGCAATGTGCAGCGCCCCCTTCCACAGTTGTGCAGAGCTTTGCGCAGATGGCTCTTGTGCTGATGGCTCCGACCGTCGGTGCTTTGGTTCGAGCTCTGTGCATGAATGCTTCAACTCCATAATTAGCAGCGTTGCCAGCGGAGATGCCTACAAACTGGAGCCACCTAGTTTTGCACTATCTTGTCCATAGACTGAATAACATGGGACACGTGCCGTCATGTCTCGTACTACTTAGTATTACTACTTGCAGGTCACCACTTGCTTCTGTGCAAATCACGCAGCTCCATGGAGGATTCAAAGGGGACATCAGTCCAGGATGCTGAGGCGCAAAACACAAGAGTACCTCAAGATGAGCTCAGGATTCACGAAGTGCAGTGCCTACCCTCGTATTTCGCAGGCGAAGGGGATCTTCAGAGGAGCCCCGGTCATCATCAAGGGTCTTCAGAAGAAGCCTGAGCAAGCTGAGCCGCAACCAGATCTCTTCTTTAGCGGAGAGTAGGAGATGCAATTGCAGAGATGCATGCTTGCTTGAACGCGAATGACCTCAGGTACAACGGCAAGAAAGGAGTGGTCACCGGTGGGCCCTATGACACTGGTCGCTTTGAGGCCGCAGATGACGCAGTTTCTGGCAACCGCGAATCGGCACTTGAGCTGAGAGATGTTGAGAGGTCACCCTTCAGCTGGGCAGCGGGGGCAGCGCCGGCTATGCTGATGCCAAGGTGCTGGAGTTGACATTTGAAACAGGGTACATATTACTGTTTTTGGTGAGTGTATATAAGGTTCCTTTTAAACATTGGTGAGTGTATATACCTGGTGTCCTTTCAGGGGTACAAGAAATATATACCCTGCTTCTGACATGTTGATTTTGAATGGGCCGCTCAAGGGACGCGTTGGTTCCCTTGTGTCTTGGGTGCAAACTGCCAGTGGCTTCGTTCAAGGTGCTCGCCCTTGAGCCCTCCAATTTCCAGCTGGACCTGGATGCACTGCAGGAGATCCTGTCCTCCCATGTCCTCCCCTTGCGGGCATAGCCCATCAGAGAGTCGTAAATCTGCTGACGTCGTGTATCCTTGATGTGGTTGTGCAGCCAGGAGTATGTCGTGCAGAAGAGAATAGAGAAGGCTCGCCGCGATCCGCCGCTCGAGGACCCTGAGATGCGAAAAAGGGGAAGCCGCAGAGTTCAAAGAGAGGGGAAACCTGCAGGACTTGGCGGCTCTATGGACCAAGGGCAAAGGCCTGTCCGCCAGAAGTCTTACATGGAAGAAGCTGAAGGTACTCAGCTCAGATGAGCTCAGGATTGCGCAGTCTAGAATCTGTTGCGCTGCTGTGCATACAGGAATGTGAGCTACCTTCGCAGGCTCTGGCTCAAGTGCGCCAGAGCCTTCATGTGACAAAACGGCTCGGTGACATCGGTTGAAGTCAGGAGCGATGCCGCCATGTGCCGTTTTATTCATGATACAACAACAGTGTTCGTCGCACCTTACACCACACCACTGTCCTTCCCTTAGGAAAATGCTTTAGCATTGAAGCCATCGATCGAGTGCGATGCTGCGCAAGCTAAGCCTGCGCCTTTCGGTGAGCATTTGCCTCGGCCCTTTCTTTTTCCTCAGCTACCTTTGCTGGACGGGCTCGTGCGCACCATCGCCAGAAAGTCCCAAGTTAAAAGTGCGCCGATTGACCCAAGAAGGAAGCGTAGAGAGTCACACCAATGCAAGACGCCAAAGTGCGATATACAATCTGAGGGCAAGCCCCTTCTCCTCTGGCCAGCTCCTCCCCAAAACATGGGATGAGCCTGCCAGCGTGGCATTGAAGTCGGATGCGCAAGAAGAGAATGCCATGCAGAAGGAGCAACTCCCTTTCGATAGGAGCGTTGAGCAAGGATGGTCAGGTTGGCTGATGGCGGCCTTGGGCATCGTGGGTGTACTCTTCCCTCTGACGTACTGCATAGTTCCGCACCTTCGCAAACTGCTGTGCACATCCGGATGCATGGATCCGTCGTATCACGTGGTTCCAGACTCGGAGACGATTGGACACGCCTCCATCCATTCTGATGTGCCGATGGATGCAAGTTTGCCGCAGCTTGGAGCTGCTGCAACCGAGTACTTCTTCATCGGGGAAGAGGAGACCACGACCACGATGTCAGCCGGAAATCCTCCGGTGCCCGCGACGCCTGCGACAGTGACGGCCACGGCGACCGAGTCTGAGCCGGAGGCAGAGTTGTACCCAGACACCGAGGAACCCGCTCGGCGAGCTTCGGAGAACTCACGCGACAGTGAGGAGTCACTAACACCAGAACGACCCCGGTCTCCCTGTGAGCTTGGTGTGTCCTTCCAGGCCGCAGCCGAGCCCGTTCTTCCTGTTCCTTGTGTCGTTGCCAAGTCGCCTGAGGCCGTGAACCTGGCGACGAAGTCCAGTTCCCTGTTGATGTTGTACGCCTCCCCGCTCTGCCGCATTGATGCCTCCCGTGGAGCTACACCTCTGCCAAGCCTCGACTTCGAGCAAGAGTGGAGAAGCCTTGTGACGGCCTCGGTCGAATCACCCAATGGACCCTCCTTGGCAGCTCGCCCCCTGACGGCAGCAAGCCTTCAACGCAGCCTATCGTACGGAATTGCAACACGGAAAGACACCACAATCCTTCACCTTTCTGCACATGGTACCCCACAAGGCCTGGTCCTTGAAGATGGCAAGGGGACGGCTCACCTCCTCAGCTGTGAACTTGTGAACGAGATGCTGTCGCTGCGCGCCGGGGCAGCTCCCTTCCAGCTGGTGGTGGTGAACGCCTGCCAGTCCCAGGCAGTTGGCAATGTCTTTGCTGACTCAGGCATCCCTCACGTGGTCTGCTCCGAGGATAAGATCATGGACACCTGGGTGCAGCTCTTCATGCGCACGTTTTACACAGCAATCTTTTGTGGCAGCACCGTGGCAGCAGCCTTCGAAGCCGCGCTCACTTCTTTGCGATGCCAGCCGGGCATTCCACAGGAGGCGCGTCACTGATTTGTTGTGTCGTCGTTTGGCCGCAATGTATAGCCTAGCCATATATACACATATATATATATATACTTGTAGCACTGCCAGGCAAGCCGCAGCTTCTGCCTGCTTCCCCCTGGAGGGGTCAGCGGCCCATGGCCGATGGTCAATGCATGTCAATGCACTGATGCGCTTGATGATCGATGATGTGCTCCTGTTCTGCAGAGCTTTTGGAAGTCAGCGCGTATCTGAGGATCATGACAAAGTCATTTGTGCCACAAGGCCACGGCTTTGCCTCACTCGTGAGAACTGACGGCTAAGAAGTTGTTTGTGAGGCAGAATCCGATGACTCTGCTCCAGATTTTCTTTTCCCTTAATTGTTTTCCGCCCTGCTGGCTTTGCAGGGTGGCAGCACGAAGCAAGCCGCAGACCAGGCGATTCATGGGTGATTGTCAGTCAAAGTTTCAAAGTTTCAAAGGGTTTCGGGGAAGACCTGGGTTTTGAGAGTGATTGACAGTGCTTCAAGATGCGCAGGCTGCTGACGACACCATTCGAGCAGCTCCTGCTCGGATCTCTTGACCTCCATCGCTATGCTGCTTGGTGCCTTTGCTTCGTGGCAAGGCCAGAGCTTCCAGAAGACTTCACTGGGCGGACCCTGGACGTCTGGCCGCTTTTGACTGCAATTGTTGCAGGTCTGCATATGTCTGCGTAGCTCTGCGTAGCTTTGCCAATATGTTGGGGAACGGCAGAAGACTGTTGGAGCTCGAGGTCTATCCTCCAGCACTTGGACAAACGTCGCTTTGTGACAGTTTGCCACCTGCTTGGTCTCCTTTTTGCTGCCAGTCGCATGCCTGGGAAGCGGAATCTTGATGCCCTTGCCAAGGCAATCAGCACGCTCTGCAAGGAATAGGTCCAAAACTCAGTTGCATCCCGACCGTGCCAGCTTGGCACTGCTTGTCAGGAAGCTTGAATCTTGAATAAGAGGGTTGTTGTCTATTTGGGTCCTGTTTAGGAGGGAAGCTTTTTTGGTAGGGTTCCCCAAATAAAGAGGACCTGAGGAGCCTAATTAGTTGAGCACAGCCCCCATTGCTGAATGTAGGCAAATCTGCGGTGCTTGATGCTGCGCTGGCCTCAGTTCGCTGCGACCCTTTCGAAATTTTGGAAGCGTCAAGCGTTGCAGAAGGCAGTTTGCTTTTGGGATTTTTTCGAAAGTAGTGGTAGAGCTGATGACAGTGTCATTGGTCGTCCAAAATCTCAAGGGTCCCATTCGTCTAAACCATGGCTGGGGATGTAAAGTGGATGTTCTGATTGTAAAGTGGGCGTTCCCCCACCCTATGTAAGATGAATTTATCACAGCTTCTCCACGCTGTAGGTAACCCACAGCAACAAGATTTGTCAGGGGGCTATGGGCTGTCCACTCTACCCAGCAGGCCGCACTGGACAACCAGCAGCCTGCTATGCTTGTTAATCATTAGTTCGATGCTCTGTGCGTACTGCTGCTGGTAGGAATACGCAGCTCTAGCACACCAGTCCCAAGTATCCTGAGATCGTCTCGAGTCTACCTCGACCGTCCAGCTCGGGAGCTATGTTCTCCTTCGCTCTCACCTACGGGAGGGGCATTAGCCCATGTCAGCGAGCGCAGGGGCAAGTGTGGGTGGGATGCAAAGCTGGTGGAGCCTCATTCGGTCATCATCGCAAACAGGATGTTGTAGAGCCTGGGTGAAACGACTGAGCGTACAATGTGCACAGTCGCAGTTCATCCGCCCTCGAGTGGCATGGGATGGGGGCACGTGGGCTGCTGGTTTAGCTTGCCTGAACCGAGCTCTCCGTTGACAAAGATATTGTGACATCTCAAAGTGCACCAAGGTCCATCGAGCATCTGCTCTGCACATGCAGATGCGGTGCGTAAAAGTTCGAGTGGGCTCCAATGTCGAGGCATCTGTCCAAGTGTTTCTGAATCCAGCAGCTGTGTGTACCGGTGTGCCGAAGTTGGAGCAAGTGAAGGTTTGATAGCCGGGGTCGGTCAAGTCGAAACATGGTCAGGATTGTGCGTCCTGGATGTCGAACATCCGGTCAGCAGTCAGGTGCTCAGGCTGCGACCTCCTCTCTGCGTGTTCAATCGGTTTTTAAGACTCAGGTCCAACTGGCTTTGGCTGAGGAGGACTCTGGAATGTCGTGCTTTTGAGTTTTTGTTGTTGTGGTTCCAGCAATGAAGGGCAGACAACACCAGACCAAACGAGGGCTGCTGCGTCCGCACTTCGCGAGGACTGGCTCAGTTCTACCCGGAAGGCTATCAACTGCCAGTCCAGGCGCCAACATGTGTGACTTTTTTCTCAAAAGCCCCTGTTTAGGGTTTAGGGTTTAGGGTTTAGGGTCCAGGAGTATTGGGAAATTCTGCGCAGGTTGACATCCGGGGCGCTCACCCGGCCTCGCAAGTGTCTGCCCCGCAGGCACCGGTGAAGAAAGCAGCTAATGCCTCCGAGTCGTCCGTTCTTCTGTGAGGCAGACGAGGAAGACGCAGCTGGACTGCCTCACATCTCCTCTTCTGTTTGGGAATCGGAATCATTTTTGGGACATCTTTAGGCTTTAACGTATTGTCTCACAAATCTGGTTGAGAGTAAGAGCCTGCAAAAATTGCACGAAAAAGCGTTCTGAAGCCATCTCCCTTGCAGGAGTCCGAAGCACCCGCATGGTCCAATGAGGAGACTTAGAGTTAAAATCTCTCGCTCTCAAGGGACTAAAGGAGGGACCCTTATAACGGACCTGGGGGTTATTTAGGGGCTATTTACAGCCGCCTAGGTATATAGGGATTATCAACAGTATATATATATATATATAGGGGTTTTATAGGGGAATGAGATTAAGGGTCCGTTCTAAGGGTCCCTCCTTTCACCCCCTAGCGATCTCCAGAGTTGGAAATGGTTTGCGAAGTACATGTCTTGGCAGATTTGGCAGGAGCTGCTCCAGACCCTCCTGCACGAGTTGGTATTGCTTTCTTCCAAGTGGCAGAGGCCACTCAAGCTCAAAATGCGCGCGGGAAGTCGCAAGGATTCAAATCAGCAGCCCAGGCGAATCACCGCTGGCGTGCAGACGGGGAGTGCCAGTCGAGGAAGCGTGAGTCGAGCACCCCATGTCAGTTAGTTCGTACATTGGCCCTACAAGCAAGTTACACGGGATTTGGAAGTATGAAGTACATCGAAGACCACGGAAGTACTGCAGGATCCAAAGTGCAAGCTGTGCCAGCTGGAGATGCCAGCCTGCCTCCGAGCTGGACCTGTTAGCATGTTTGACATGAGCCTGAAACACAAGGAGGCGACAGAGAGCAACAGAAGGAAAGGGGGAGAGAGAGAGAGAGAGAGCCCGTTGGGGCGACCTCCCTAGGGAGGTCAAGCGCGCTGCAAGCAAGCAAGAGAAAGCGACAGACTGCACCACCCTTGGAGCAATGTTGGCATCTTTCTTGACCTTGAGCACGCCCCTTGGGGCGGCCCTTCGGTGCCATGTGCACGGGAAGGAAGGTAGGAAGGTAGGAAGGTAGGAAGGTAGGAAGGTAGGAAGAAGATCAAAAGGCAAGCGCTGCATCCTGGAGCTTGGTTGGGCCGCGACTGGGACAGTGTGGTTTTGCGGAGTCAGAGGGTCATCGGCTAGGCCAGAGATGGGGTCGAGGCAGTCGGGCCGGGCTGGCGCTCACTTGGATCTCGGAAGGGGCCGGGGCAACAACAATCCTCAACACTCTCTAATCATCGAGCCTCGAAAACCTGGACGCTCGTCAGCGGCACAGGAGAGAATGCATCGCAGCCCACCTCTCGCACTGCTGGATGAAGCAACCCACTCCCTCCCCCCCCCCCCCCCCCCCCCCCCCAGCTGCGCTGGCGGTAGGGCGCAAAAGCCAAGGGGGGCTTTAAGACAGCTAGTTGCAGCTAGTTCCTTTCACCGGGGCAAATCCAAGGAGAGGTGGCTGGACTGGGCCTCGAGAAGTAGAAGACTCCGGCGATGAGGGCAAATACAGCCGAGCCACCATGTGAAACACCATCCGGGCCGTTTCGTGAGGACACAAGGGGGTGAAACAGACAAGAAAACCAGCAAGAGAAAAAGAACAACTCCGAGCCGCCACGTGGTAAGCCATCCGGAACTGGCCGACGCGCGTCCAACTAAAGGAAGAGGTTGGGCTGGGGGCAATGCACGAGAAGATCGAGAAGCGGTGGGGGCACATGGCGGAAAAACGGCAAAAGGAGAGATGCTCAAGCGGCAAACTTGAATGAACCGGGGAGGGTGGGCAGGAGAGGCGGGAAACCATGGGAGGCCAAATCATGTTGCCTCTCACCAACCTGGGGCTGAGACTACTTAAACAGCAAACGCAAGCAGAATGTTGTGGAATGAGAGCAAACAGAGGAAAGGACACTTTGCTACGCGTATTTGTAGGATTGTAGGGGTGTGCATGCAGCAATCCCATTCTGTCCTCTCGCTGAGATGGGTTTGGCATCTTGCTCCTCCTCCACGGCTGCGGAGACGTCTTGGAGAGGTGCTCCTCCCTGTGTGGCGAGTTCGCCTAAGAAAGTATGGTGCGGATTGTGAGAGTGACGAGGTGCCCAGACACGCTGAATATTCTTTCCGAAATCTTGCGACATTGCCCGAATCTTCGGATTGTGCTGAGCTCCCAGCCTGGACCTCAGATGCCTATCACTACCACTCCAAGCTTCGCAAGAACCATGCAAGAAAGACACGCTTGGACAAAAATATGCATCGATGTGTCCCGCGCAGACACCGACTGCTGGGGCCAGGATGCAGCCAGTTCAAGGCGATTTTCTTTCTACGCTTGCCCTCGTGATGAAGCAACGCGAAGGCATGCGAAAGCCTGAACTTGGCAGGTTGTGCACTACGAGCTTGAAGGTCTAAAACCAGTGGAAGCTCAGCTGCATTGTTGCTTCGCTGATGCTGCTTGCATCACCAGTTTCGAAGCTATTCTCAGCGGTCGCGAGCAGTACCTTCGTTTGTAACAGCTTTACACGGCTTTCACTTGTTTTGGATCTGTTTGGTCTCGTGCAACTGGCAGTTGGCGTCTCACTTGCGCAAAGCTACATCTTCTGAGCGGCTTTTGCTCGGCATTTGCAAGCCCAGTCCATTGCAAGTCTGCACCCGAGGATGCTGCGCGATTGTTTCTTCGGCGTGCTCAGCGGCCCTTGAAATGGAAAGAGGCCCTCGCCCCCTTCTTTCAGTTTCAAACAAAGAGTTGAGGTACGTGAGACACGAGTGACACGAATCCCATCCAAGCAGTGCAGGTGCTTGCTGGGACGGATGCGGAGCGGCAACTTTCTTCAGCCGCATGCGAGTTTGTCCCATGCAGAAAAACGTCACATTGCTTCTTCAGGGAGGTTCTCATGCCGTTTCCATGCAAGCCAGGTGACAGACGGCGCATATGTCGTGCTGAGCAAGGACACTGAGAAAGAGGCTTCCCGAACGGGAAGTTTCTCGGAGATGTTTTGATTGTCACAGCATGTCACTGCTCATATTCCTGTGCAGGTCTTAGAATTGATAGCATCGCATCCGGCTGTGGCGCGCCTGAAAGGCGCACCTCAAGCTGCGCCCTTAGACCGCTCGAGCGCTCTCCTCCGCCGGTCCTAATGAGTGGCCTTCGCGTCGTCTGACCTTAAGGCGCTTATTGAGCTGGCTTGCCAAATGGGGCACCGCACACTCACCGATTTTCTGGCACAAGGTGCGGAACTTAGCCTTAGGGTCGGGCATGTCGTCCTTCTGGCTCCTCATGTGTGGCATCTTCGGTCACAGGCCCAGTCGGAAGACTAAGCCTACGTAGGCCTAGGACCACTTAGAGACTCGGAGCTGTTTAGAGATGCTTGTCGGAAACGATGCAACTCGATTTTCGGTACACACCTCTGTCCACAAGCCGAAGCATTGTCGAGAATTCTACGGCTGCCAGGGAAGAGGGGCTCATGTCCGACCCACTTTCCTAGATGTCCTAAGTCTTGAAAAGCCTTAAGTTTTCTAAGTCTGGACAAAGTGTCGCCAGCTGCAGCAAAGAAGTCCTTACAACGGCTGTTCGTCTGTCAGGTCATCATGTTGCGGCCTGACGTGCAAGCCTTGGATACCCCTCAGCTCTGCTGCACAGCTCTCTTCGGCAACTTCACTCAGCTCACTCAGCAAGTCGCTCGAGGCTTCGATACGGTGAGGGTGCAATGCGGTAGCGCGCTCCACTGCACTGCATCTGAAATTTGAAATTTGCCCTGCGGAGAATTTTTTTGGGGGTTTCACACCACGGCCAAGCCGTCCATATCGCGGCATTCCTGGACCCTTACTTCCGACGACTCGGCACTCAGTGTCCGTAGACAATCCAAGCCCAACCTGTATATAGATATCAACGGCGGGGCAGCGCTATCTGTGCTTGCATCGTGCAGATGTGGCCACTTCAAGCTGGGCTCGCTGATGCAATGTGCACATGTAGACCTGGGCCTTAAAGACGAGTACAAGCAGTCTCGAGAGCCTACGTGCAAAGTTTGAGTAAAGAGTTTGAATAAAGTATTTTGCAGCTTTGCAGCATGGGAGTTGGCCACAGCAAGCATTGATGGTCCAATCCTTTAGCTGACATAGACCAGGGGATCCAGGCCAAAGACTGTCGGCTTTCGCTCTGCATTCTGTTTTCTGCCAGCTCTGTTTGAAGTCTGAAGAAGCAGAGGTGTCAGATGGTAGATGGTGTCAGATGGTGCCAGATGGTGTCACAATACAGCAGTTTTGCAGGTGCCGGATTTGGGACAAGGAGAAGTTCTACTGCGCGTTTGTGACACAGCAACGATTTGGGGAAGACTCCGGAAGTTGCCATCGCTCAGTCTTGGTATATGTTTGCTGAGGTAGACAAGTTTGCCTTCAGCCACATGGCTCTGGGGTACTTGATGAAAGGCCACGTTGCTGCTGATGGTATAGAGGGTGCCGCAGAGCCGCAGAGGTTGCTGACATTGCAATGCAGGCTTCACGCGAACCTTTGGTGCTTACCACAACTTTTACAAATATCAGGAGGCCACATCAGTTGCGCGAACTGGCCGGCGTGTGCAGTTGGGGCAGTTTTGGGGGACAGTCAGGAGAACCTGTACCGCTCCGCCTGCTGGGGCTTCGCGACCGTGATGGAGTCCACCCATCCGAAGGCAGGCAAGAAAGCAATCCTGGAGCGGATGCTAGCTAGGCCGACTAAGGCCTCCTGGGCCTCGACATGCCTCGGCTCTTCGCAGATTGTTTTTGATCTATGGCATGCTCGACACTGCTTGATGCAAGCCCCTCTGGCCTGTAAAGGACAGAAACAGGTGAACAGGGCATCACTGCAGAGCACGCGCCGCACGGCACCTCACTGCACCGCACTGCTTCAGCTACCAGCAAAGCCGCCGTTGCGCTGTTGCTAGCTACTACTCCATACTAGGTCCTAGTAGATACGACTGCTAAAGAAAGATGCTGACGTGTGTTGACCATCATGACAGAGAGGCCTAGTTGCGGCTACTAGCAGAAGGTCGGCCGTGCTTACAACAGATGACGGTTTCAGGTGATATCGCGTTAACCATTAGGTGTGCATTGTGAGATGGCCCCTCTTGACGGTTGCTGATTCTGCGTGCCTACCGGTGCCAATGGCGACGGAGAAAGAGGCAGGGAGGTACAGTGGCAACGAATAGCGTTTGAGGCATCTTGACAGGTTCTGCAGCTGCATCGATTGCAGGGGGCTTGTATTACATTATGATGCTTCATCTCACTTGACAGGCTGCCGCTTTGGCCAAGACCATGGGAACTGCTGGCACCTTCTTCAAGGGACTGCCGCTGACTCATGTCCTACGGGTTTTGTTCACGCCACACAAGCCCATGCCGATCAAAGGGTTTGTTGCAAAACTCCGCCTGCACACATTGTTGCATCAGAGCAGTAGACAGGAGATCACCCTGCGATAGCTTGCTCATTTGGACCTAATACACAGTGACCAAGCCGTGGGAATCAGCTTTTTTGTCAGATGACCCCATCGGCTCCACGACATTGTACCAAAGTATTCATGCAGAAGTCATGCAAAGTATCCAACAACTTGCGCCATCACCTCAGGCAAGGCAATACCTCGCACAGAGGATCCGTGCAGGACCAGCTGCACCATCCAGTCTTGTTTTCTGTGCTTTCATTTGGTTTTGTGAATATGGGTGTACCAGTAACCAAGTGCAGGCCACTATGCCGATGCAGCTGGAGGCTGTACTGGCGAAGCGGGAGAAAGCCAAGGAGGAACACAAGCCTGCCCGGCCACCAAACGTGCTTGTTGACGGAGTGTATGTCAGAGGCTGGGCTGCCGAAACTGACCAAAACTTCCGACACACTCCAAAAGCTTACCCCTCCTTTGCACAATTCAGTTCCGCTTGCAGAAGTGCTACTCTGTCACCGCCCCATGTTCAAGGGTCAGCGGATCCCAAGCAGAAGCCGGTGTTGCGCCATGTGATCGTGAAGGATCTCAACAAGGCAGTGACCAGTTGGCCCCAGCGCATATCACGTTTTGATGCTGAAAGCGCGGAACCACCAAATGTGGCTGAAGGTCGCTACGCAGCTGAAGTACGAGGTTCCGACGACCGGGCTTTTCGAAAGGACGCCTTGCTTTCATGAGACTGGAGGTTTCTTGCATGTGCAGCATTCGTGAGCCTTTGCACACTGTGGCAAGTGCTGTCAAGGAAGCCGCCTATGGGGTTGTACTGTGTCTTCGATGGCCTATCCAGAGCTGGAGTTGGAGTTGCCGGACCGGCATCTGCTGAGCTCCTCTCTGGCACTTGCCCGACACCCACGGTATGCAATTCAGCATCTTGCGTCTTGCGTCATGTCTCAGAGCCCGCGTGTGACCGCGCGCGCCCGCAGATACTGCGCACGTGCGTGTGCGCCCGCGCGCTCGCCAGATGTGGCGGAACATCGCTCAACGCGGTGGCGTTCTGCGCCACAAAGAGTTTTCAGAGGCTCTTCAGGCCTTCAGCTTTTGGGCGAACTCCCGAGGGCCGCCAAGTTGGAGCCAGAAGGAAGGCCCATGCCGACCTCATCTCACCAGTTCACTGTCTTTGTCGGAACGAGGTTCTGCGCGCTGAACTTCCACATTGCACTTCTAAACTCTCTCTCGGAGTTGAGGCCACGCGTGCTTCTCTGTGCTTTGCACAGCTTGCTTTGTGCTTTGTACCTGAGCGAGAGATCAGTTGCCGTGAGGACTGGCACTCCGACAGCGTCGTCAGTTGAGTCTGTGACGGGCCTGGACGTGCCTTGTGTGCTTGAGTGCACGAGCCGAGTTGACCCAGACGAGGCTGTTGCCAAGAGTTTGGAAACTCTTGATCAAGAGCTTCTGATAAGGCTGCGGCTGTACGGGGGGCATTTCTTACCTGGCTTTCTAGGAGGCCACTGCCCCTAGAAGTGTGTGTGAGAGGAACCCAGAGATTGCGGACGGATGTGGCGCCGCAGTGGCGCTGCTCGTGCGGGACTGCAAAGCCCAGTGAGCCTGAGTGAGCCTTAAAGCATTTTTTTACGTGCGTCATAGCGTCATAAACGGTGTATTATTGCAAAATCCAACACCAGGATCACCTCTTCCTTGCCTTCATGGGCCGCTGTACAGCGGTGCTGTGTGAGGTTGGGACCTAAACTCGCTGAACTTCAAAACCTAAAGTGAAGCCTGAAAGTGCCAGCCATGCTGAGACTTAGGCAAGTCGAAGCAAGTTGCAAATTCCGAGTTCGGTGGTGGGGGAAAGTCATGTCTTTTGAGCCTTCGGGGGCCTTTGGGCCATTGAGCCCACTGTGACGGAAGTACACAGGGGCCTTCGAGCCCCCCGTGTAGACCAGCACGATCGGCACGAATCTCAAGAGCTCAGGGGAGATGGCGACTGGGTAGCTACAGAATCATGTCAAGCTGAAGCTGGCATATCATGACGTGTATACTGCAGGTTGGACTCTTGTGCCTTTGAGCTAATGGCAGTGAACCAAGTGCTTCCCTCTCCCAGAGCTCTGGACAGCGCGGCTGTGTCTGTCTGGTCGCAGGTCAGTGATGATGGGAGAAGGGTGGCGGTGAGACTTGGCAAAGGCCGCCTTTGCCGCTCTTGCTTGTTCGCGGCTTCCGCGCAACCCGAAGGTTCTCGAAGGTTCTCGAGCGTGAGCCGTCGGTTCGCATCGGCCTCGGGCAGGAGCCAGAGCTGGTGGTGTCGGAGGAGCTGTGGTGACGTCCTCTCCAGACGTCAAGCTCCTTAATGAGTGAGCACCGAAACACATTGCATCATGAAAGCCTTCCATGCTGTGTTAATGTTCGAAATGAATGCTTCACGCGTTTGTACCGACAAATGCAGCAAAGCTTTGTGCCGGGGGTGACATGCCTGCCAGTGCTGTGCTCCTTGAACAGCATTAAGGTGCAGACGGTTTTCCTGGAGAGCCCCGAACGGCATCCGCGACTTGGTTGACAAGCAAGGCAGACTTTGGGTGCTTCGGTGGAATAAGGCGACTCAACACATCATAGCGCATGTTTGCAGCCTAGGTTTCTGGTCTTGTCATCTTCGGCCGTCCCCCTAAAAGTTGCGGAGCTGCTGGCTCTTGCGGAAGACTTTCCCCTGCAGACCGAACCTCAGCAAGTGCATTGCCAGAAGTTTCAGTATCCATGATCGGGTAATCGAAGAAACAGTTTCAGCATCAGGCTGCTGAAGAATCTGCTTTAAATACATTCCTTCATGATACGCTTTGATGAAACGAGTTGGGAATTTAGGTTGATTTGGGTTTAAGTCCTGTCTGAAGATTGCTGGCTTTCTCTTGGCATCGTCTCTACTTTCCCATACTTCCCGGCCGTGCCTTTCTACTTGCGTCTATTTATCAAGCATCCTGCGAGGCATTCGTTGTAGAAGTCGAAAATCAGTTCCGCGCGCGCGCGTGAGTTCTGAGGCCACGGGCATTTTGCGGGGAGGTCGCCTCCAGGGCCTCTGAAATGGCCAATTCGCCATGCACGGCAGTGCAGGTGGAAGAGCCCCAAAGCTCAGCCTTTGAGCCTTTTGAGAGGACGCCTTGCTTCCCCACAAACAAGCCTCTGGCCACACACTTTGCAGGTGAACTTCCTCCCGGAGCACTCCACGCAGGCTGAGGCACCACTCATGTTACACACGGAGGCTGAAGGCTGAGCTGCCCTGTTTTTCGCTGCCCAGGGACATCCCCCAGCTGCAAAAAAGGCGAGAGTGGCCCATGTGGGCCCAGGGCCTTCAGGAGTGGCCTCTGAGCTCATATTAGTCAAAGCCCGCGGGCTCAGAGTCCAGCTTCATGACGTTGACTCATGCGAGCTTCATTGATCGTCATGGACTTTTGCAAAGCTTTTGCGGGGCATTCGCGGGCCCCACTCGGCCATCTCTCGAGAAACAAAGCATTGAACAAAGCTTTGTGTTCAAGCCTGTAGAGCCGAGGCCACGCAAAGCATGCGGCTCAGGCATATCTTGGCCCCGCGCCTACGCATTTATGCCAGTACCCCGTGGATCCCAGTGTGAGCCGTGGGATGATGCCGTGAGTTTTGAGAATTTTTTGATCTCAGAGTTCGAATGCACACTGCTCTTACAAACCGGCTTGACCTGTTCAGTTTGGCACAGAGCCTAAGCCATGAGAACTTGTCAAGGTGAAGTTCCACGAGGGTGCGAAGCCAGCAGAGGATCCAAAGGCCTTGGAGATCTTGAGACAAGAGCGCCACCGGCGTAGTGAAGCTACTGCAGATCAACATGCAGTTCTCCATATGCAGTTCTCAATAGCAGTTCTCAACGTGCAGTTCACAGAGCGCGAATGGTTTTTGAGGCCGCGTGGGCCTCCCGCACGCGGGCGGAGGCAGAGCGCCTCCTCCGCAGCGCCATCACGGAGATTCGACGGGATCGGCCCTTTGGCATGCAAGCGTTGCAGGTTGCTAAGTGTGGCGTCTTGGAGGGTTTTGAGGACATGACAGGGGCCATTGGGTTTTTATGACACATTGCATCGGGGTTGTTTGCTAAGATTGTGTTGCTTTGCAAGCTGTGGTTGCATCTCAGGAAGTCATGGACAAAGACGCCAAAAGATGTTGAGACCTCAGACAAGTTGCGATTGTCGAACATGCTCACCAACCCCTCACTAGTCTGGCGCGTGCTTTCGCGAGTCGAAGACATCCCCATCAGAAATCACAGAGATGCCCATCTCAGGTAACGGAGCTCATATCCTTGAGCTCAAAGAAGTTCATAGAGCTGTGCCGAAAGCTCTCCGACTGTGAAACAGCACAGAAGGCCGGCTGAGAGCACTGCGCAAGCGTATTGCCAGCACGATTTTTCCTGGTGCATCTGGTGCATTTCCCAACATGGTGCCATTACGTGCCAATGCGTGCCTCAGGGGGCTCTTGCTTGTGGTGACCTCGGCTGGGTCGCTCCAGAGGCGTGGATTTAAACTTCCTGGGAGATCCTGGGAGTGTGTCTCAGTGTGTCTCTGGGTGTTCTGCTATCTCCGACTCTGATCTTTTCTCTTATCCAGCTATGCATTTCTATGGGTCTAGTTCTCATGAGAGCGCGGCTTCGTACCAAGCTCAGCTGGCACAGCTGAAGGGATGGGGAGGGTTGCACTTTGCCCACCTACAAGGCTCGGGCTGCGATGAGCGAGCACTTCAAGGAGGCGTATTGCGCCGCGATGCTCTTGCGATGCTCTTGCGATGCTCTTGCGATTTCGATGGTGGCTTAGCATCGTGCCTTGAATGGTCCACGGCGCGATCTTGAGCAGGTGTGCGATATTCTGCAGCCTGGTCAGTGGAGTGACATCGTAGCCTCTCACCAGGGCTTGCACTTGGTGCAGCGAGTGGCATGATTCCGAGATCTCCGAACTTGTGATTCTCACGTGAAACAAGAGAGCTGGTGTTGTGGAAGCGCATGAAGCTCGCTGCAGCAGCTGGATAATGCCTAACCGGTGGATGGAATGCTTGGACCCTTTCCGATCAGAGCACGCTGTTGTATGACATCTCACAGGCAAGCATACCATCCATGGAACAATCAGACTGGAACGTCTGACACACCAAAAGAGCCGACCGGTCGCTGTAGCATCATGGCACTGGTCCTGCAGCAGTAATCCAACAAAGTGCTCCTGTGTTTCGGGACATTGGTCAGGTGGCTGTCGGAACACGGCTATACGGCCTTGTGCCACCTGCAAGGCACTCCTGTTTGGATTGTGCTGACACAGTGACACAGGGTGACGCTCAGCTTTCACTGCCTCACCAAACAGCGACCATGTGAGTCAATAGCAATAGAAAGAAACACGTGCAAGCGCCATCATTTCATCACTTGGCAGCTCGGCAGGTTCCAGGTGCAGCCGGTTGGCTGAAGCCTCTGCAGAAGGGAGGGTGACCGTCCGTGTAGCCCCTCTAAGATTGGGCTCTGAGGAGGGACTATACCGCCGGGCAAGAAAGGGGAGCCTGCAATGGTCTGCCACTTAGTCCAGTTGCATGGAACTGGGAGAGCCCATGCAGCTTCTCTTTGCTCCTCAATTCAATTCGCAGGTGGAACTTGCCATGGAGGAGATACCCTTCAACCTGCGCCGTTTCCAGGAGATGGAGGTACCCCGGCTCAGCTCGGCTCTGGAGCTTCGAGGCTTTCAGCCTTTCGCCGCTTTCGCCACTTTTAGGTCTGTGAAGGCCTGGAGCCCCACCTCGAGGTGCAGTGATTTCCGAATTGCAGAGGTGCGTTCGAATATTTTCGAGTGCTTATAAACCCCGGCAGGACTGGATGGTGGCGACAAAGGCGCAGTCCTGCAACGTGCGGAAGCAAGTCTAGAGGTGTTTCTGTCAGGAGATCTACACCATGGCCTACTACATGGATGAACAGCTCTTGGTGGACACCGGGCCGGACCCACAGAGAAACCGCATGACATGCAGCAATCATCCGAAACGAACTTGCCAGAACAGAGCTGCAAGCAACTCACTGCAGAGAAGGTCAGACCCGCCGGGTCATGGGTGGGTGAACTCTGAAACGGAAGGATCATGGTTATCATGGTTGTCATGGTCCGCAGTCCGTAGGTCTCGTGTAGCTCTCTGGTCCCTCTTTTGGTGTTGGAACAACTTCATCCGAGCCTCCTCAATTTGAAGACCTCCTCGACTGGTTCGAGATGGTGTGACGAAGCCTCAGGATGATCAGCTGCGTGCTGATCTCCTGCGCTTCTGCGAAAACCGCTCTGGCTTTGGCCTTCTGCTTGCGGATGCGGGAGATGAGGTCGGCTTCGCACGTAGCTGATCAGCTGACGTGCTTCGGGTCGAGCAGCGCGTTAAGACATCATGCGGCAGGTATGTCTTCGGCCTGACGTCCCAGGACTTCTTAGACCTTTGGCCTGCCAGCAATGAACTATCATGCAGAAGCGGCGCAAGGATCATCTGGAGTTCGCGCGATCGACGGATCTTTACCACGAGGTGGATCTCTGCGCAGATGAGCACCAGTAACAGGCTGACGATCGCCAGGTCTTCACCTATGAAGACGTGGACTCGCTTCCAAGCAACCACACCGTGGTCGGGTTCTCAAATGAGATGGAAGCTTTCGGCGCCTCACAGACACTGTCTGCATCAAGGTCTACATGGACTTCAAGTGCGACGGGGAGCTCCGACAGAAGATCACTCTCAGGTGTTCCAGACACTTGCGCGATCGTTTCTGCAAAGTGCTTGACGTATGCTGCATGCAGGATGGGAACGAATCTCATGTACAACATGGCAAAGGCCCCAGTCAAGGAACACGCTCCAAGAAACGGTGACTCAGTATCTAAGAACCTGTGCGGTGCGGCATGCGACAGCCAGCCTACCAGCCTCCATAAAGGTCATAGGCCCTGCCGTCTTCCAAAAGAAGATGAAGGCCGAAGTGTGAGAGAGAGGTGAGAGACAAGGGCCTTCATTCCTTTGGTGGCCAGCATGATGTCCCCTCATTGGTTCGTGTGCCCGCGAGCAGGATCAAGTCTTTGAAAAGCGTGCGCGAGAAGTTTTGTTTGACGAATCCTCCTGGCGCGAGAGACGCCGGATGGTGGCCGAGGCAGGTGCTTCCGTGGCAAATCAGATCAGCGGCTTGCAAAGCGCATGCCAGCTGCACGTTTCTGCGACTGCCCAGCCAGAGGTTACAAAGACAGGCCGAAACGAGAAGCTCAAGCATTCCTACCAGGCGCATCATGCATGGGAAGAAGCGACTGTGAAGTGAACCTCCTGTCCATAAAATCTAGTTCGATTCAGGCTTTCATTGACCGCATGAAGAAGATCATCGCAGCAGCTTGTCCGAACAACTCCTGCTTTATGGGTAGGCGGCGGATGGCCGGGAGAATCCTTCATGAAGCTCGCTTGGACTCAGGGCCCGTCGACCAAGGTAAAGCACATCAACAGCATGGATGGATTCGCGGCCATGTATGACAGCCTGTACAGCAACGATGCTTGCCTGCAGTGGTGGTAGGAGGTGATGCGGTACTGTCTGAGGACCTCAGCCTCTTTTTGCCTCATGGAGTGGCTGTTTCACAGTCGGTGACCACGTTCGATCCAAATCGACAGAGCTGTAGTGACAGTAAAAAGCTATATGATCTATATGGCTGCCTTGCGTGAGGCCGCTTCGCCATGGGACGTGCACGTAGGGTGCCCGAGATCGCCCGTGTGTGTTGACGCTGCCGGTCCTTGTTTGGATGTGACAGAGTACTTAGAGCACCGCAAGCAGCATAGTTTGCAAATTGCAGTGCCATAAAGGTCTGCTGCTTTCACGAAGACGCGGCAATTGACGAGATCTGGAAGGAATAGCTCAAGAAAAGAGGAACAGTCCGAGCGAACCGGAGATGTGCAGCCAAAGGCCACAGCAAAATCACTGACTGGTGGTCCGCTTATTTTCAATCTCGAGCTTAAGCATTGTGCTTGGGCATCCTTCGATCATGTTCGCTTGTCCGCCACTGCCGCGACTGTGTGCACGTGCAGTAGATGTTCTTGGCCCTCGTGGAGCTGCAAGGAATGCGCAAGCACCAGCACCCCAGCCAAACTGCCCGTGCCTTCTTCGCAGAGCGATTATTTGCACAGGCTCTGCGGGCAGCTTCGTAGGCGGTGGGCGAAGCTACCGCAAATCCATGCGAAAGCGAGTGCGAGCCGGGGCACAGGAAAGTCCCGCACTTTCGATGGCAGTTCTGCACCAGCCACTAGAAGACGACGAGCCGGAGAATCTCTCGGCATGGTTGCGGGGAGCCTTTGAGGATGTGAATGTGCGATTCTTCGAAGGGGCCTTGGACGCAGATATTGCAAACAGAATCGAATTGGACAAGAGCTGGCATCTTCGTGGTGGTGCAGGTGGGGCACATCCAGGCAGCAATAGAATTGTTTTGGACCCTGGCGTCCATTTCACAAGGCGGGATCTTTGTGGCACCATGATTCATGAGATGCTGCATCTGTATATTGGAGATGATGAAGGCTCCGAAGAGCACAGCCAGAATTTTGTGCGGAGATGTTTGCAGATAAATTTAGCCATTTTGGAATCTGGACTTCCTTGCTTCTGCCGGTTGGGCGAGTACGACACCGCGCTGGATCGGGACTTACTTGCGGAAGCCTTCGATGCAATGTCCGAGGCAGATCTGCACTCCATCTACTGCTGCCTGTCCAACATGTCCAACGAAGCCACCGGCTGGGATGCGAACCTGCTGGTGGCAGATTTTCGGCGTTGCCTGCACTGCCTGCCTGTGCACACACACGAAGCACAGGCAGGAGCGCAAGAAGCGGACCGAGTCGTCGGCAGATTGCAGTGCCTGGCTACTGCCAGGTCCTGCCGCCTTGCTCTGCGCAGTGGGTACGACACTTGGCACGTCAAGAGCAGAACGACAGCACGTTATGGTGCCGCCAAGACTGGCAGGGATTATCAGCTGTTCTCCGCATATTCGCAGGCGTGGTCCTTGTAGGTGGTGCCAGGCTCATCGCCCAGTGTTTGTGGTGGGGTGCCCAGAGCAACGTTGCCGGCACGGACATCTCCGTCGAGAGCCGCATGCATCAATGTAGCTATGTCCGATGTCGCAACCTGAAGTAGATCAATCCGAAGATGGAGGACATGGCGGACTGCGGGCAACATCCCGGACAAGCGGAGTCGTGCCGCGAAGAACACAGCCGGCTCATGAAGCAGGCAACCGCAGATCCAAAAGACCGACGTCTGGCGCAGATAAGAAGCTCCAGCATCTGTACGTGCCTGTGACCTTTGCAGAGATGTGGATTCGATAGGTTGGGCAACATGGCGTTGGTGTCGCTGTTCGATGGGCTGTTGGCTTGTGTCCCCTGTAGTGCCGTACAGTGAGAAGCGACTTTATTTTCCAATGTTCGTCGGAGGCATGCGACAACACCGAAGAGGTGTCTCACGGAGCTGCCGCAAAAGTTACTGTATCGCTAGTTCAGCATTTTCAGAACGGTTTCGAAGCGTGTTTGGCAGTAGGGCGGTCAGAGCGGGATTGGGGGAGTGGTTCTGAGAGTTCGCAATTGGACAGAAGTGAGTCGCGTGAAAGCACAATGGGAGCGAGCATCTCGACATGCAGTGCTGTTTTTGGGAAGCCGCTGGGGCTCGAAGCAAGTGGGGGTAGACGCGCTGGCTCTGAAGCATGTCGCAGGCAACAGTGCAGGCTCCCCCTGGCTTGGAGGCACTTTGGAAGCCGATCCTGACAGCACTTGAGTTCATTTCAAACAACTCGGCAGGGACAGGGCCACCAAGCTCAAGCTCTGGATGAGGACTTGGTGAAGGCATGTTCTTGAACCTTGCGGAAGACAACGATATGTGCGTCGAGTACCTTTTTGGAATTGTTGTCCTTTGCATCCGGCAGGGGCTGAGAGAAACCATAACGAAGGAGGCAGATAGTCCCAAGCACCGTGACAAGTGCTTCAGCGGACCGCGTTTTATTTCATTGCACTTGAAGAATGCATATCGGCATATATTGGCAGTGCATATGCCTTCTCTGCGACACCTGGAGGTGACAGAGACATGTATGCGTCACCTAGACACCACGACACAATCCACAGCATTGGACTCAGGGAAGCCGAGAGTTCGTTCTTTGCTTGCGATGCCTCGAAGCGTTAGGTCGATGCACTGTACAAGAAGGGCCAGAAAGCTGTAGCGTGCGCTCACGCAGCTTGTCGACTCTTTGACCTTGCTGAAGCGCACACTCGAGACTGATCGAACCACAGGTACATGCAGCAACAGCAGGCCTGTCAAACTGAGCAGCTTCAGAGCCGGGGACTCAAGTTTCAATTAGTTCGGTCATGATCGGCCTTTGACATTTGGAGAGTGATCAGAGCCACTGAGGTGAGATCCGCAGATGCACCGAGTGGCGTCCTTGGAGTAGTTTTGGCTCAGTCGACGTGGAAATGCTCTTCCCGTGCTGAGGTCATACCAAAGGCTAGAAAGTGGGTGGCCTAATGGTCGTCATCGGTCGGATGTCATGGGTGCATGCAGCCCCGCTACATGTCAGCACTTTAGTCCTCAAGGTGAAAATGCGGTGCTCAGAGCCAGTCTGGAGGCCTGCACTCTAACTTAGGGCTCTGGAGCCGACGTGCTTTCCGAAGTATCCCACAAAACTCAACACTCAAATGTCTTCGAATCTTGCAAAGGCTGAGTGCATGGGTCCTCTCACAGGAGGATTTCTGGCTTCGCCGTGTCTGCTTCTAGGTCCTTCAAGAACTCCCAGAATCGGTGGAAACATCGGACTCTGTTGCTGGTAGGTTCAGGTCGAGGAACCCAATTCCCGTCATTTTCGTTCAGAAACTTCCAACCTGAACGAAAGGGGGGGGGGGGCAACGGGCATCGGAGGTTTCTGGGTAGGGGGACTGGCTGGGAAGGGGAGTGAAGGTGGCACGGTCTTACAGAACCTCGGACTCCCATGGCCGGGGCCGAGGCGAATACACTGCAGTATCGATTGCCATCGTCGCATAACAGCACACACGTGCCTTGATTTCCCCCTCACTCCTCCACTAAGCCGGTTGCTATAAGGTTGGGGCTGGCAATGCATGTTTCTCCGCCTACAGACTTCTCATTTGCTTTGGGAAGCGATGCAGGCCCTGATGAGGCACCTGACTGTTTTGTTCGGAGCTCCATCGTTCCGCGCTTGTCTGATTGCATGCATCCTCTTCCTGCAGAGTGGCTTGCCAGGGTTTGATCCAGCTAGGCTAGGCGAGGCTGGAGCTGAGATGCTAAGGCACTCATCCCAATCATCTTCAGAGCATGCTGACACGCAGGCATGATGCTGTGTCACCGAAGGCCCAGAAGGTTTTTCTTTCATCCGCAAGCTTTCTCCAGGCACGTGATGAAGTGGCACAAGCGCCCTTGACCACGCCCCGACCACAGATGGATGCCACGATTCAGCATCGTATTTTCTGCAGATTGCAAGCGATTTGCATGCTCCGGCTTCTCGAACATAACGTGCATACGGCGGACGTTCTCGGGGCGCTCTCGCGAGTGGTGTGGGCATTTTCTTAGAAGCGTTCCTGCTCTGAGCCTCAGACTCTGGCTTGATTCTCGACGAGGAACATACTATAATAACAGCATCAAACAGGAGGGGGGGGGGCTGGTTTGGAAGTCGCCGCAGTTGGTTCCGGCAGGTCACTGGCACCCTATAGGCGCACCCCTGACGAAGTGCCTGCGTATTTAAACTGCTTCGCAGAGCCCCTTGGCTTCTTGAGGGTTTGGGGGCGCCCTGGGGCTCAAGTCGAGGGAACAGGGCTGGTGATACAACCAACTAGCCAACTCCGACCGTTTGATAGCCAACTGCCCGACTTCTAGTGCAGAGTTGCTGTGATGGCTTGATCCGCGTCATTAATTTGGAATATGGGCAGGCCAATATTCGAGTCAGAATTTACAAAGGCCCACCTCGGCTTCGCACTGAAGCGGCAGCACTGCCTCTTTCAAAATATAAGAAAGAAGCCAGCCGACTAGCAGGACAATCACCCTCCCTGATCAAAACTGCGGGGAAGGGAAACATACTCTTGCGAAACAACTCCTTTCGTCGACTAAGCCTGTTCAACAATCTGTCAAATCTCACCATCGTAAACAAATGGAGGAGGCCATGTGATCCTAAGCTTTAAACGGTGTGACCAAAGGTGGCCGTTTCGACTCCCTGTCGGGCACAGCACCGCCTATTGACTTCAAATTCCGAAATCTCTGGCGCATGAATCAATCTGCTTGGACAACATGGAGCCTCCGCGTTATTGCGAAGCAAGATCGTCAAATATGCTACTATCTTTGCGGAATGAAAGTTGCGCGGTTCTCCTTGCTGGCAAGACGACTTAGGCACCGCGAAGAAGAGGAGGCGTGCGTGTGGCTTGCAGAGTGCGCTCTCGTGCGACATATCAAGCCTGATGTGCCTGCAGGTTGCTGACGTTGCGGCTGGATCAGGGGAGAGTGGCCCTGTCCTCACCAGTCCGGGCTGCATGCCGGCCTCGCCGCGTGGCGCCGTGGCCAGGGGTTGGCGTGAACCGCGCCGAATGGAAAGCCACTTTCTGTGGCCCAAGCGAAGCTACGGAGAGCGATGGGGCGGTGGGACAGGGGAAAGTCACGACAGGGACAAGGGAAGCAGCTGAGTTGCAACGTGCAGGATGCTGAAGGGCCAAAAATCTGGTCTGATGAATCCGACGTCGGGTTGGCAGAGGGCAAGCCGGGCAAGATGAGTGATGCCCAGACACCGCGAAGAAACAAAGCATGCACAGCGAAGCCTACGCAGATGCTGAGAAAGGAGCCGATTGAAAAGAACCGACATTATGTATCCGACGCTGCAAGAGCCCTTTTACAGGGATAGGCAGACCCGTCCCATCCCGGCACCCTAGTTGCCGGCACCCTGCCGTCGTTCCCAGGCAGCCCAACATCCTCTGAACCCGAGGCCGCTCCGAAGCGTTCACTTGACCACACTTCTTATTGCCAAATCGGCTACATCCTTGTGAGGTATTTTCCCTCACACTTCGAAGAGCCGACACTGTCCCTGTCGGACTCCACGTCACAGGCATGAAGCCAACAATGACATGCACATGTAGAGCCAAGTATGCCTCATCCTCTTGCAGGTGAGGACGGCTTGCTCGTGGAGCGAGTGCTGCCAGGTGGCGCTGTGGAGGCCTGGGGAGTGGACCGGACTGTTGAGAGCACCGGGCACTCATGGGGCACTCATGTGGCGCTCATGGGGCACTCATGGGGGGCACTTTTCGACGACTCCGACTCGGCAGGCCTGGAACCGACAGTGCCCTGGTGTTCGTGAGATCCGCGTCGGCGACCGTACGCTGCCCGGACGTAGGCATTGTAGGGTTTTGTCGGTCACAGGAAGCTGCTGCCAGGAATCGTCAGCATCAACGGCCAAGACGATCCTCAGGCAATGAGGAGCGATTGGTTGTCAATCTGGGGCAGTGACCAGCGTGGTGCTACCTAAAACTGTATCGAACAAAACGTGTTGTTGGAGAATCTTCGTGCAAGAAGGAAATATGCACGGAAGTTCGTAAGCAACAAGGTGGGTCCAAGGCCTGCCGCGTAGTTGTGAGAGGACCGAGTGCCTAAGCAAGTTCCTCCTCAAGATGACGGCGTGGCACCAAGGGATTCCAAGGGATTCGAAGGCTTGACCCGTCTCTGGTGCTGTCGCCCTTGTGGAAGCGCTGCGGATGCGCTGCAAAAGCGTTGCTGAGGTGCAGCGCGGGAATGGTCTTACAAATCTCCGGGCAGAGGCAGACGAGTTTGTCCCGCAGGCAGGCTTCGCGTCCGGACCACTGGCCAGAAAAAGCTTGCTTCGTAGCAGCCTGGGCCGTGACTTCGCTGTTGGAGTGTCAGGTGCCATGAGGTGCAGGTGCAAACAGGATGTTTCTCTGCCACCGGCGTAGACGAGGCGAAAGTTGGAGCCAGTTTGCTGCGCCCCCCACCGCTTATGTTTCTTTGAGAAGTGCCTGGCAGCAGGTCTCACCGCTTGAAGTGAAAGGGCCTCCGTGGTTTCATCTAGTGCAGGCAAATTCGGGTCGGGAAGGCTGCAGGGGAGATGCAGGCCTTGCGTGCTGGCAGATGCATTTTGGATGAATCGAACTTAAATAGAAGCAAAACGCATGGGCTCAGCCGTGGTATGCTGTTGCGATCCGGCCAGTGCTACCTTTGGCCAGTTGCTCAACGAAGAGGGGCGCTTGGAGTAAAAAGCCATCTACCATCAGCCCGTGCAGCAACGTCAATGCCTGGCCAAACTCAAGAAGGTCGTCAGATGTCGTCAGCCTGTCTCTTCGCGGACACTCAGGTGCGAATTCGGAGTTTCTCTGCCTGCTAGTACTGTCAACATGACCACCATGTCCAAGTGCGGAGACGGTGCGCATCATGAAGAAGTACGTGAGTGTAGTCAGAATAGTCACTTAGTCACACAAGTTTGTGCTGGCCGAGTGTAGCTTTCCTGCCATGTGGTGCGATGGCAACAGCCTGGCTGCAGAAGCGTTTGGCTGCCCTCGAGTCCTTCGAAGATGAGGTCGGAACCTCCTTCGGAACTCCGCCTTTGGAACTCCGCCTTTTGGAGCTCTGCCTCTGCCTCAGACATTGAAGTGCTTGAAGGCTCTGGCGGAGCCAGCGCTGAAGAGCCCAAAGAAAGAGGAGCACCACGGTGGTTACGACGGCTACGAGGTACGTGGGGTTACGTGGGAGTTCTTTGAAAGGCACTCTGCACATTGCGACCGCACCTGATGTGTTTTCCCCCCCCCCCCCCCCCCCCGCATCAGGCTGCCGAAGCTCTCCAAGAATTTCTATCCAAGGGCCTGCTGACTGACATCGACCTCGCCGGTGCGACGCCGGAAGAAGAAATTGGCAGTGAACTTAACAGCCTCACCATATGCAGGCCACAAGTATGTTGGCCACTTACAATTCTGGCAATTTCCGTGTGTGTGTGCTCTCCCAAGTACTTCCTCAAGAGATACATGAAGTAAAGAGTTGAGGGTTTACACATCTGCATTCTCCTGCGGCAACATGAACCCCAGGAAGACCATCACACTCGCCCAGCCATCTTGCTAGGCGATAGAGGTCAGGGAGATGCTATTCATCTTTAAGAGCCGTCGTTTGGAGGTTCTTGTGCTTCCGTGGCATACGAGTCCTCAAGCCTCAGTTTGCCGAGGCGATGTTGGCGTCACAAATCTCGCCGCCGTACTGATTGGCAAGGTGCAGAACTCAGGGTGATTTAGGAGCTAGTTCCCCCTTGCAGCTTAAGGTGGCCAACCTGACAAGGCAGAAGGGGATCGGCTTTGAGAAGCATGTAGAGCCCATAGAGCCAGTTACACTCTCCGGAGAGGCTGAGCCTGAGGAGGGTCGGACTGGGCGCTGCCGGCTTCCGTGAGGAGGGATTTCTGTGGAGGGAGAGTGCAGAAGTGAGAGTATGAGGCAGAATGTAACATCAGACACGGTCAGAGGTTGGGCGCTTGTTGGCCCAATGCCCTGCTCTGGAGGCTCAGCTTTCTGCACAGCATAGCATGACGCACTGCGTCATGAGCCGAAGCCCTTTGGGTGAGTTTACTCTCAGGTGCTGGACGTGAGTTGCAGAGACCTCAGAGCCGCCAACGTTTTCATGGCATCGATGATCTGGACGTAGTATGATGAAGTCGTGCGACCTTGCCGAGATAACACCGCCGGCTTGGACGGCCTTCGTGGAGAGTTTTGTGAAGCGTTGGACGATGCCAGGCAGTTACTTGCGAAACCCATGCTGCCGTAGAAGCCAATTTGGGAAGCTCCCTTCTCTGTGCCTCTTGCCTCTAAACTTCTGTCGGGTCTGCAAACACCAGAGGTCCTTGAAGGTGCTGGAGCTGCGAGGTTGTGGACTTCGAGATGAGGGGTTGGGGCCCTCACGGGGGGGGGGGGGGGGGGGGGGGCCTTGGGGCCCCTAGGGGGCGGGGAGCCTTCCACTTGTGACGAAGCATGGCATACCGAAGCGATCCGAAGCGTGAGAGTCATGGGATGTCATGGCTTGAGGTTAGAGCCTCTCTGCGATGTGAAGACTCGGCATGATTGACTGTTTCACTAAGTCGGAATCTGCATGAGAGTGTCTTCGTGTGCCTTCGCGCTTTGGAATCATGGCAGGTTGGAGCGCTTCGACGAGGCCTTGAGGCGCGGATAACAAGAAGGGGCCTGCCGTTGTTCGCAACGGTCTCCCGACATCATTCCACATCTCCTGTGCCCACGCCTGTGCAAAGGCCTGTCGTCTCTGTGCAGCAGCTCAGCCTCAGCACGCCCTCCTGCTGCACAGAGTTGCCGGGCGTTGTTAGCATGTGTTTTGGCCGATGCGTATCGAAAAGATTTCTCCGCTGACCGAGCAGGAACCACATCACGGCAACTGGAGCTAGGCCAGGTCTGCAGTGAGGGTGCTCGCGGCGGTTGTCTCATGTCTCGTGCCGCTTTGGTGCCATGCTTGTCGAAGGCGTTTGGCACGAATGCTTGCGACCAACTTGAAGCTGCAGGTGGAATGATGCGGTGTAGTTGCAGCACTTTCAACGGTTGTTTTCAAAGTCAGGAATTGGACATCTCGGACAACGAGCTGCGCGAGGACGTGCTACAATGAAGTCCAAGCAAAGATTCAGCGCCAAAGCATTCAGAGGAAGGAGGTCAAGAGCTTGCCGGCGGTTTGAGCGCCAACAAGGCGAGGCAACGTGATAGACTTTGCAGAACGCCATTTCGAGCCAATGTTGGTTCAGTTGCGGAAGAGTTTTTTTAGAGGGATGGACGTGGGAACAATCGCCAAGCTTCTGAAGAGTGCATGTGCAGCATCTTGTATTGTATTGCACGTAATCTAGCACTTGGCCTGCAGAAAGATGGAGGGCTCACGCAGAAGACCCCAACTGCCGAATCCACGCCCCTTTGTCTTTCAGGTAACTTCGACTAATTTCAAGTTGAGTTGTACTATGTTGTACTAACTCTGCGAGTAGCTCATTTGCAGTTCATTCGGCTGCGCAGGGCCGCTTACAGAGGCTCAACATTTCTCACAACCTTCTCCGGGTCGCTGCCTCAGCTGCCTCAGACCAGGGAGAGACTCGAAGCTTCGGAGATCTTCTCCCAACACCGGCGACCGTGCCTTCCAATGAGGTGGCCGGCGCGCGTCCACTCCTGGAGAGATTTATGACGAAGCCAGGCAGCATTTTTGGTGGCGCAAAGGAAGAGTTCTTTCATGGCATCCTTGAGGTGAGAATCAGCGCCTGAATTTGTCAAGATCATGACACCAACAAATCATGAACATGTGCAAGACAGATCAAACCTACCTCCGTCCAGGGTCGCAACAGAACATGGAGGTACTCGCATGTGCAATCTCGCTGCAGACGGTGGCTCAGTACGGTAAACGATACGAGGATCAACTTTTTGTCTCTCTGTCGCACTCATGTGCATCCTCCACCGCAAGGTTGCATCTATCGGCGATGCTGTGACATGATGGTGGATCTGGATGAACACAAGTCCACAACAAATCACACCCCCGATCGCCCGCGAAATGCCACCTTACACAAGAAATGTGTTGCGCCTCGCCCCCGTCATGGCGCGAGCGTTCTCGCGTTGTTTTTCGACTCACCAGAGCGAGCCGCTAGGCCACCCTCCACTGCTGCTGGCTTCGGCGACAAGTGGGACGAACTGAATGCCTTCGGTTTTGCAGCGTTGGTCGCTCTGGAGTGGGCTCGCCTGCGTGCCTCGCAAGCTTGACTCGGAGAGGACGGGCGGTCAAAGGTGGCAACCCCGTACGAGCCACCTACCAGCCCCACTGGGCCACCTACACATCGGCCGGGCGACGATACCCTGGGGGTGGGGGGCACGCCAGGCATGTCTCGCCTTCGCTGTGGGTCTTTCCGACCCTCTGGCCTGCGCTTGGGTCAGTCTAGCCACGCCCTGCCTCTTGAGCATACCCCAATGCCTCTCACCCCGAACCTGTTGGGTTAACTGCACGACACATAGAGCCGTAGTATGCAAACCTCGAAGCCCTGCTGACTTGAGATCCGATTTCACCCATAACTTATCGCAACGAAGTGGCCGCCAAGGACTGATGTCAGATTCAGCATGCAGATCAGAAGGCTTCGGGAATCTTCGGGAACTGCGAGGAAAGAATGTTTTATCCATGGGACGTTGACCAAATTCGTGTGGCAGGCTTCCTGGCACGAAGCATGGGTTTGTTTTAGATGGAATGGTGGCGCAGGGCTCAAACACGTTTATAATGCAAACAGGGGCCTTGTTTGTTGTGTTCCAGAGTTGAAGCATCGAGGTCACAGGGCTGGAGTTCATGGCGCCACCCTCAGCTCAGCTGAAGCCTTTTGCAGGATGGCATGCTCAAGTGTCAGGGCTGGGTTGAGCAGCACAATGACCGGAGTCGGTCCGAAGCAGTCTTCGTGGGTGACAGGACGGGCTCTCTTGAAATAGAGCGCGAGACGGTAGACAGCAGACTATTCGATTTTAAGTGTGTGTGTGTGTGTGTGTGCCTTTTTCAAGCAACGCGTGCGCAATCCTCCGCGTGTGGAGGGCCGATCCGATCCAGTGTCCGAATTCACAAGCTTGGGCGATATCTCCTGCTCGACAGGGAGCAAATTCGCTTACACTTATGCACATACTCGCATTATGCACTTGCAAGTCCGTGTGATGGCGTGGGTTTTTCTGTTTTGTCCACAGCCGGGCTTGTTTTTTAGTCAGATATTCTCCTCTTGTGCTCCTCGCCCTTCTCCTGGACTGGGTTTCCTGAGGGTTTTCTCGCAAAGTGTCCCTGGAGCGAGACTCTGCAGAGTGACCCTGCTGTGCCCCACCCCAGACCCCAGAGGTTCCCCCAGAGCATCCTAGAGTGGATGTTCGAAGTAATGCGTTTTGCTCTCGATTGGTTTGCAGCAGCACAGCAGCTCATGATCGCGTCAGGATTAGCTGTTTCGGTTGGTCGTTGGCTACGGTCGTCTTGTACTTGTATCGTTTGCCGGCTCGCTTGTGCGCACCACGCGTTGGCACAGACTCACCAACTTCTCAAACTCCTCCAAATCTCCAGCTCAGCAAAATTCTGCCATGCGTGAGGATTGTGGAGGTGAATGGCACGACCACTCCGGACGACATGCTGCTTGAGCTGACTGTGGGAGAGGCAGGTGGATGATGCTAGGCAGGGTGATGCTTGAACTGTCTGGCTCTTCCGTTCCAGGTGCTCGACATAACCCTCGTACGCGATGACGTTTGCTCTCCCCTCAGAGATCGAGACTTGCCCATTAGAGCTGGGGTGTGGGAATGCTCCAGATGCATCGGACTTGTCGGGAGGCATGAAGCATCTGGACATCTGCTACAATCTTCTGGGCAAGACTGGAAGCCAGGACATTCCTTTCAAACTCATGATGTCGGTCACGCGCTGTCATCTACACACTTAGAGTGAGGGAGACATTCAGATCTCTGAAGGAACTGCGGGCCTTGTCTGGAATGGCACGGGAGGCTCCTGCACAGCTTTGTCCGAGAGAGCTCTGTAGCCAAGCAGAGTAAACAAGAGTTCCTGGTAACAAGAATGCGGTCTTCAAGCTTGCATCAGGGCAACATGCTTGGGAACCAGCTCCGCTTCGATGGTGGCAGGAGGACCTGGACTCTGAAGTCACTGTCAAGTCACTGTGAAGTCACCGTGAAGCGGCTAGTGATCTCATTCTACGTCACATCAGCGTTCAGGATCACGCTGTTGAACGCGTACTGAGCCTGCAAAAGTCGTCTTGCAAAGCAAGCGCCGCGCAGGAAAGTAGTGCATGGCAACTCTAGTGAGCGCCGGCAACTGGCGAAAAAACACCGCCCTTGAGTGACTTCTACACAGGCACTTGTAGCGGAGCAGCACGATGTGCCTCAGCCATCAATTTGACTGCACATGGACACATCGGCTCAAAAAAACACTTAAAGGGGTGCCGACTTGGTGCACCACCATCTCGGAAGGACGGGTCGTGGAGTGATCATCAGTGGCGTTACAAGGGCTGTGCAGAACCGTAGGCGGCGGTCATGCCATCGCCTCGAACCCCGCTGCTGGTGTGCCCTTCGTGTTGGCTGTTCAGCACCACGAGGGAGCGTGTCGTGTTGGTAAGATTCTGGCTGCATTCGACAGAAGCCAGGTTGTAGCCTGCGTGGCTCTGCTTGCCGCCTATGTCCTGTCCGAAGCTTTCGCGGTGACAAGCCAGTCGCCCAAGGCTGGCAAGAGAATTTTGCTACGATGTTCACACTGCATGATGGCTGGCAGACTTGATCAGGCTCTCTCGCCTCCACGGCTGACTGCACAAGTCGGATGCCCAACTGGAAGAAAGCAGGTTCACGGAGATCCAAGACCTGCCTTTGGCGCAGGCAGTCGGCACTGGGTTGCCAGCCCAGAACTCGTCGGAAGGCCCCGACCTTTGAAGAATTTCTTCGGTTCTTCAACGCCAATTTGGAGCGAGCGCTGCTGAGGTTATGGTGCTGTTGGCGGTGCCATGTGTGGTGCTGTCCGGTGCACGGCTTTCTGTTTTAGGGGGCTTCTGCTCCATGCGGCATAGGTGTCCTTCACATAGTTTGCAGATGCTGATGAGTCTAGTTGTGGCTCTCTCTTTCCTCAATTTGTGTTCAGGTCGCTGCACTAATGGCGGCCGGCGGGCTCGCGGTCCGCAGCCAGCGCAGGAGCCGGGCGATTCAATGCCGTGGCCACAGCCACGCATGGGCAGGGTCACGAAAAGTTTGTTGCTAGCTTGTTGGTCATCTAGTATGTGAGAAGACATGGCCTGGAGCTGAAAAATGCCGTTAAAGATACTTTGTCGGAAGGCGAATTTCGGAAAGTCAACTAGTAGACATGCTCAGCATTCTTCACGCAGACGGTTTGTAGGCAGCTAAGGGTGCGTGAACGAACATGCTTGTAATGCATGCAATTCTTGCGGTGCCTGGCTTTTGACGAGCGTGAAGCGCGAGAGAGCACAATAAGATCATAAATGAGCTTGCGAATGCGACAGAGAAGAATGTTGCGCGCCCATACAAAGGCGCGATGAGACACTAATCATGTTTGCTCTTTCTTTTTTCTTTTTGCCCCGCTCATTACTACTATTTTCGTGCGGCCTTATTCCCCACCCTCGGTGTGGGGTTGTTAGATTTTAAACTCAACTCTTCTCCCGGAACTCTTCTCCTCGCCCGGTCTACTCCTCGCTCATCCCTGGAGTGCCCAACCCCAAACCCCAGAGTCTCCCTGAAGTGCCCAACCCCACATTCTGACTGGAGTGCCCAACCCCAGAGTGTCGTGGGAGTGCCCAGTCCCTGGAGTGCCCAACCCCACGGAGTGCCCAGCCCCAGAGTCTCTGCAGTGCCCAACCCAGAGTCTTCCTGCATTGCCCAACCCAGTCTTCCTGGAGTGCCCAACCCCAGAGTCTGCCAGTCGTCCTGGAGTGCCCAACCCCAGAGTCTCCTTGAGTGTCCCCGGAGTGCCCAGCCCCAGAGTCTCCCTGGAGTGCCCAACCCCAGAGTCTCCCTGGAGTGCCCAAGCCCAGAGTGTTGCCGGAGTGCCCAGCCCCAGAGTCTCCCTGCAGGGCCCAACCTCAGAGTCTCCCTGGAGTGCCCAACCGCAGAGTGTTCCTCTTCCAAGAGAGGGTGGGGATGTTCGAAGTAAAATAGTTATTACTCTGGGTGAGGAGAATGAGCAAAGAGAACTACAAGGAAACGAAGTAAAGTGCGTGAATTCACTGAGCGAATGAACGTAACGCCCGTATGATTCCTACTATCTTAGTAGAAACAAACTATACTGATAGATGAAGGACTGGAAAGATAAGTGACCATAAGATTGCAAGAAAATGCCAGCAAACGCTTGTAGATCCTATGAATTCGTTCCACAAAAATCTTCGTAAATACGGTAGCTCTGCGCACTTATTTCTGTACACACGTTAAGAAGCTCGTCCAGTTCCTTTTCGCGGCTTCACCCTCATTTCCTGAAGACAGCTCGAACAAGCACCTGTTCCTGTGCATCCTGTCACAATGACATCGGCTCCTTGAGAGTAAGAAGCTCGCCAGCTTCCTGTGTCATGGCCATGTTCCTACGTCTGCGAACCTGCGTTGCAGTGATCAAACCGCCAGTGGCCGCGCGGCCTGGCAAACATTCACCACAACCTGCATTCAGCACTGCAAGATGCTGCAAGATTCAAAAGGTCCATCATCGCAATGGCGATTGAACCTGGACACTTAATTCGCTTTTGTAAAAAACGCCAAGCCTTGCTTGGGTGTCAGCTAACACCCAACACAGCAGATGCAACCGGTTAAAAGCAGCCTGAAAGTCCCCTCACATCCGAATGGACGTATGCCAAGCCTGTCTGTGGTTTTGTTCAGCATGCTCATGACTTGAAGCAGGCATGTCGAAGACGCATCGGAAGCAAACTATGTTGCACCCTTTGTCCGAGAACTATTATTTTCTGTAGGGTTCAGATTCGGAAAAAGACTATTCTGCTTGTTCAGCTTGGTCCGCTGCAACAGTGTTGCCAAGGCAATGCCTTTGGCAGCAGCAGCAGTGGCGGCCTGATCGTGCGACCCGACCCAAAATCGAGCCACTGGTCAAAGTGGAGATGCTTCAGGTGGCTTCATGGGATCTCCATGTGCGTCATCGTACGTCTGGACTCAGCAGGAAGCACTTTAGGGACACGGGGCCTTGTGAGATGGAGATATTCTTGCAATCCTGGCCCTGCTCCGTTCGCATCTACAACGCCACGTGCAGGCAGCTCCTCCTCAGCCCGAACAGCCTGTCTACGCCCAGTCAGGCCAAGTCCAATCGTGGACGGAAGTGTTCTCAGAAGATCTCACAAGGTATGTGGCAGAATTGAGTAGAGTTATCAGAGTTCTGAAACTTACTAGAGTCGTCCAGGCAAGTTGTGCTTGTGTGGCCCCCAGCACTCCTTGTGACCCAGCGGCGAGGCGTGGCGAGCATGGGCATGAAGGCCGAGAGTGCTGAGTGCTGGGAGAGTAGCAGACAAGTTCGTTTCGGCAAAGAGCCATTCTTGGAGTCTTCCACTATTTTGCTTTAGCACTGAGTGCTAGTTAAAGGGGCACTGTGGCGTCAGGCCCAAGTTTGGTGGATTCGAAACAACGGCTTCGATGGCCCGGCAAAGGGCGGTGCCAGGCTGTGGGACAGCAGGCGTCGCGAGTCCAGGCGCGGACCTAAAAAGACCTGAGAAGGTACTGAAGAGTTGCCTCTGAAGTATGACTCTTGTGAGTGGCCCCTGTGGTACGGTATCCTGTGTTCGGCCGTTCAGGCGCCGTGGCGAGGAGCTTTTCCGTGTCCAGCCCGAATTGCACGATTGTTAGTAGAACTTGTCACAACTGAAAGTTATGCATGTGACATCATAATTCCAGATGTCGTCGGCGCAGCTTAGTAGCAGCCTTTGAAGCTAATCCAGGCCACCGTCATGTTAAGCCGAGGCCACGATGTGGACAACTTCGAACTCTGTGTTCACAACCTCCTCGCAGCCCCGGGCAGCAACAAGCGAAAGCCGCGACACCAAGTCATCCGTCATCCAAAAGTGCGCAAAACCAAGCCGACGTAAGTAAGAGATGGGAGACTTAGGCTGGACACTTGCCATCTAATTGCCACCTCCCTCCCTCCCTCCCTCCCTTCCTTCCTGTCCCTCCCTCTTCAGGGTTTGCCGTGGTCGCGGCAAGTACGGTCATCACGGCCGAACGTGCGGTGCGAGGCTGAGGTGGCTATCCGTCTTCATGTTGTGCCTAAGCAACAGTTTCTCAATTTCTATGATTGTTTCAGCTTTCAGCAGCCTGGCAAAGCCTAACTAGTGTACACGTCCAAAACACATCCTTGCACATTCAAAGTGGATTGGACTGTGGTCAGCACGCTCATGGAAAGGGATGCTGCGACGAAACCTACTGTAGGCATGGTGCAGGATAGAGCAACGCGAAACACATGAAGCATTCGGCATCCAGCAAGTTTTACTAAGTAGGTGCATCTTGACAGACGTGTTAGCCAGCAGACGCCGGAGCGCGCAGGCTAGCGGCTAGACGACATAGGGCCCTCGAACCCGAACACAAACGCAGGGACCAGTGATTTTTGCACCCGCCTCCAGCTCTGCACCCTCTAGGCCTGTAGGCTCTGTAGGCGCAAGCTGCGAAAAGCGCTTCCGATAAGGCCGCTGCATGGCCAAGAAACTTGTGAGATCTTGTGAGCGGGAGGATGTGAGGGTTGAAGCGAGCTTGGAAATGGCCTGAACGTTTACAATTCGCCAAGCGCCGCTGAGGTTTCGGAACCACGAAGAACGGAGCTCACAAGCGCGGACGTCGCACCCTGAACCCGGGATATGAGGCCTTCATAGCAGATCGTCTAGATCGATTGCGAGAAGTCGAGAGACTCACAAGTCTCCGGATTTCTCTTGTGCATGCCAGGGCAACCAGAAGCCGCTCCACCTGAAGACTCCCAAGCTGCTGCCCTCGGTGCGCCCTCCACTTGAGCCGCCACTTAGCTCTCTCTTTGTGCGCTCTCTGTGCCTTCCAGAGTCCCAGTCATGCGCTCTTCTCTGCAAACCTGCGCAGCAACGGGACTCCATGAAGCAAGATCCCTACACACCAATTTCACTTGCAGCGCGGGCCTCGGTAAATCTTGAGTTTTGAGTGGCCGCATGTGCAGATTGTACGTGGTCAGGAAAGCCAGGCGCAGCAGAGTTAGGAATAGCAATATAGCTGTGAGGTTAATTTTGCAACTTTGCCCGTGGTTCTGATTGCATTGCTGGGGCCTGCCTGCAAGAAGCCAGTGGTTCAAGCTCCACTCAAGTTCAGTCAATCTGTTGTTCCGTACTCCACGAGCTTACGCGCATGATCTCAACCTGCACTGCTAGCCCACAAGAGAAAACCATGGCCCCCAGCATCTACTCGAAGCATCTCGGAGCATTGAAGCATATTGAAGCTCGATCTTCGAATCGGTACTAGAACAACTTGCCAGCGGGATGCTTCCCTTGAGTTGCAGCCCGTCTGTGTGGAGCTCTTCAGTTGCAGAGCTGTCGAACGGGGTGAGGCGTTTGTCCTTATCGCCTGGGGAAACGACTAGCCGATGCAACCGGCAAGGCCCTCCACCCCAAACAAGGCGACTTGAAGTCGGGGCTTTGGCAGCCCTTGCAGGAGCTGTCTGGTTGCGGCAGGCATGCCGCTGTCGGCAGAGTCGGCAGGGAACCCCACGGACGTGTTGCAGGTCAAACTTTGAGAAGGATGCCGAGCAGTACAATGAGTTGGTGGCCTGGCTGCGCGAACGCGGTGCCTATGTCAACCAAGCGGTCGGCTTGGTGGAGCGGGACAAGTTGGAAGACGGAGGCTCGAGAGCAGAGCGTGGCTGCGCAGCCACGCAAGACGTGAGAGCCGGAGAGCTGTTGCTTGAAATACCCCTCAGCTGCTGCCTGTCACCAGTACCTGGATCCTATGACGACGTCCTCTCAGGTCTGGAGCAGACCATGGAGAGAGCGGGAATAGCCAAGGCCGACGTGGAAGTGGCCTTCGCTGTAGCGGTCGAGCGTCAGCAGGGGGAAGCCTCTCCTTGGTGGCCCTACCTTAGCATGCTCGACTGTAGTCACACGTTTCCTTTGTTCTTCGAGCCGGAAGATTTGGAGGCTCTGGAGAACATCCCACTGAAAGAGTCGCTGCAGTTGACTTCCCAAGCTGTGGCTGAGATCGCAGAAGCCAGCGGCCTTCCCGATGTGGAGTTTCGAGAAGCCATGCAACTCGTAATGGGCCGACGCTTCGGTTCAGATGTTTCGAGGGCCATGATGCCGATTGGTGACCTTTTAAACCATCGCTTCTATCCAAGCTGTGAGTGGGAGACACCTAGCCCCGAAAGCCAAAGCTGGCGGCTGAAGTCAAAAATGGATCTGAGTCCGGGAGACTCCTTGAACCACCTCTACTGCGAAGACCCGAACCACCTTCTGCTGCAGCAGTCGGGCTTCATCATGAACGAGAACCCGCACAACAGGATCATGGCAAGGCCCGTTGACATGCGTAAAGGCCTTTTCTCTGTGTGCAATTCAGAGAGCCCCGAGGACTGACCAATCAGCTTCATGCTGCAGTGTGTTCATAACAAATGAGTTCCTTCTCTGATGAAGTGCAGATCGGAAGATGTCGTGCGTTCAAGGACTTTGCCAACTGGCGGAAGGAAGAGTTCCACAAGCAAGTGCCAGATCCAGATGAGGAGGGAGTTGGGCTCAGCATGTTTCTTGAGCCTTGGCAAACAAGATAGCCGGAATTCATGACTCCACGGCTGTTCTTTTTTTCCTGGACATAACCAAAATCTCTGACATGGACATGATAAGGTTGGGAGGCGGCCAGGGGGCCTACAGTGGAACCCCTTATGGCTGGATATGATAGGCGCCAAGCAGTTTGACTTCCCTCAGACTCGAGAAGATCTGTGCTGAGAAGCGCGCGATCAGGCGTAGCAGTGACGGAGAGCCCAGATGCGCCTCACTGGGGAACCACTGCTGAAGGTGCCAGCCCGTGGAGTTCTTGTGACCTTGCTTTTTTGATGGGTCTGCGCCTTTGTACCCTTTGAATGTCATGCAAGGCCTGGAGAAGTACATGCTCGCGCTGGAGACGGCTTCATGGTCACTCTTTCCCAGATCCTTAGAAGAGGACAAGGCTGACAGCAAGACGGCCTCGCCAAATCAGGAAATGGCGGCAGAGCTACGGAGGGGATACAAGCAGCTTCTGCGTGAGGCTATCGATTCCCTGAGAGTAAGACTAACCGGAGGAGGCTGATTGCACGAGCAGTGCTGCAGTGCTTGAGCTGTCGCAGCAAACCGAAAGAAGAGCGATTGGCCGCGATTGTCCGGCATTGCTTGGTGGTATGTATGTCTGATCACGCTCTTTTGGTGAGAGTGCACTTTCGCTGAGATACTCAACATGTGCGACGATGGCGACGAGGCACGAGCAGAGCAGGGGAGCAGGGCACTTTGAAAAGGTCTCGTCATTGGCTCGTCTCCCCCTGACCCAGGTCGACTACATGGAGCTTTTCGTCCGAGGACTGCCAGTCCCATCGCGAAAGCGGTTTGACAGAGCTCGGACCCGAGCCAGCACAGTGGCACATTTCTTAGGAGCAGGCCATAGCATGCCATAGCAGGTTATGCCGAGTCATGCAGTCACGCAGGTCAAGATCAAAGCGTCGGAAACCGACGTGCCTTGGGAGAACTGCTTTCGTCTATCAGACTATTCTGAACTTTGTGAACCTGCTGAGGAGTTCACAGTGAAGAACCTTACAGCGGGGGACTGATTACATCTGAATCTGAATGCTCCGTTCAACATTCCTTCCGCCTCGTGTCAGTTGCATTGTGCTTCCAGTCAGGTTGCTTAGGCATCCATCGCTTCTTGACGGCTAAGGTTTTGGCTCATGCCTTCGAGCCAGCTGCCCGTGAGAAGATCGAGGAGAATGGTGGCAGGCTCGATGCTACGGGGCCGACTCTCTGCCCTGAACAGCCCTCAGCCGCTTGTGGCAAGATGCCGATTTCCCTACTCGCTACTCACCTCAATGATGTGCTTGCTGCAAGTCCCAGTGACGTCGTTGTCAGTTCAGACAACCTTGCGCGAGCATGGCGTGATTCAGTTTTTTCAGCATTGCGAACACACGTGATAGGCAATAAAGCTCCGTTCAAGTACCTCTAGCTTCGGTTGTTCAGAATAATTACGCGAACTCAAGAGAGATTTCGCTGCAGTTGGCTGTCTGTCGCTGAGCTCCCGTGCCCTGCTACAGATGTGCGAATTGGTTATGATGAATCTTAAGTTTTGACACGAATGGGTTGAGCAACAGTGTTGGCCTCATGCCATTTGCAAATGTATCATGCCGGAGGTGCATTCGCTTGTCAGATGTTGGCAGCTTGCCGATTGATGAGAAGTGGATGAGTACGAACGAGTTCCAGGCCAGGCACATTGAGCTTAAGCGTCGAAGACTGCCGAAGAGACTCTGCGGTGCGTTAGAGCCGAAAAGGTGGGCGGCGACTCCAAGGAGGATGCCGCAGAGGCTGCGGAAGAGAAGGCGTCCGAGGAGCGAGTGTGTCAGACTGCCTGCAGCTTGCTAATGATGCTAATGATGCTAATGGTTGCTATGTCTAAGATCTTGATTACGTTTTTCGCTTTCACATCTGTTTGAGGAATGACTGGCGAAAGCGGCGAAGTCTGACAAGAGAAGTCCAAAAAGGAAAGTGCACAGTGCACAGTACTTGTCCACTGGCTTGGACAGGCTTCAGAATTCTGGACTGCGGTGTGCCCTTCTTTTGCCCAAGTTGCCCCAGCAGAAGTAGCACTCAATCGCATTGGCCACCCTGGCGACTTTCGCTTGAGATTCACGCCCCGAAAGATACATACCTTATGATGTTGCGATGATTTGGAGCTGCACGCAGACTCAGCGACTCCATGCCAAAAGGGCTCTTCACTACCGCTAACGCCGCATGACGCGCGGTCCTGGAGCTCCTCCGCCCGGCTGGCGGCCGACAGTGAAAGGCCGTGATCCTTACCGTATTTACCGTGATTCTTACCGTCACCGTTCTGAACCGCGGCCACGGCCGGCAGCGTTCCGCAGCCAGGCAGAAACAGCAAGGCCGATGTGTGGCTTGGCAAAGGACGCAAGTGCATCGCGTGCAAAATGTGACTTAACGTGCATGCCTGCATGACTTACATCTGAGCTTTGCCCTGAACTTCAAGAACTTAGGTTTGCCACAGACGCGGCCCCAGCGAGATGTCTGAGTCATCGTGCCAAAACGCACTGGAACGTAAGGCCACCGGCGTTGTCCTCCCCGATGGTCGGCAGCTTTCTGCCACATGTTCCTGTTGCATGTAGCAGGAGTTGCGGCAATGTGTAGCAAAGATACAGCGCGCAACAATCGTTAGCTCTCTGAACGTCAGGAAGTCCATGGGACATGCCGAGGCGGTGCACCAGTAAGCGGAAGCCGCTTCCGAATCGAGCCAGGAGCCTGGGGTCAACTGCTGCGCGGCTGCGAGGGGTTGTCAGGGCATCGCGACGAATGGCGCTCCGTTTACAATCATCCGACCTGCCGCCGATCTCCGCCGCCTTTCTCCTTCTGCATATGCACGCGCAAAATGCGGAAACCCTCAGAAGAACAAGCGCTTGCGGTCGACTGCGCAGGAAGGAGGTCTGTCCTGTGAACAGCTAGTTGCTGTAGTGAGTGTACACATTGCAATAACGCACGCTTCACGAAACGAGTAATTATGAGTGGAGCGCCTTAACGAAAGCTGAACTGCTGTTGTGATGTTCCCGTGGTCAGGAGCTGGCAGTGTGCCAGAGACTCTGAGAGGAAAGCCGAGGCAAGATGCTTAGCGATCGAGACGTGTGAATGCTTTTTCTTCTGTTTTCCCGGTAACTACTCTAAACCATTTTCAGCAACTCTAGCAGCCATGATAGACTAGATTCCTTGAGACTGGATGCCGACTTCGTGCGTGCAAGTTGCCAGCTGACATGCTGCAAGCCCAGGACAACAGTAGACAGTGACCGGCTCCCACCTGAGCATCTTTGGGATCTCCAGTTTCGCAATCTAGGTTTCAATGCTGTGGAAGCCCTAGCTGTGCAGGAACAGCTCACCCGCAGAGCCGTATCCTGCACCAAACATTCTGTGCTCGGCCGAGTTACTTTTCAAGTCCACGGCGCTAGCTTGTATGTTGCAAGTCGTTGCGACATGTCCATCTGACAGGGACACGCTGCTCGATGGAAAGATGCAGATTGATTCTGCAGACTACGGGTGCAAGCCGAAGATTGTGCAATAAGGGCTTCAATGGACTTCGGCTGACCGTGAAGCATTGAAACAACTCGGAACTTTTGAGGCGTTTTTCTGCCGTTCCAGGCCAGGGCAAGGGTCCAAGGGCAGACGGACAAGGGGGCGAGAGTTGGTTTATTGAGTTGGTTTACTGAATGGTATATAGCAGTCTGTTTGCGAGGGAGGAACGATGAGGAATGCAACGTTCGGCCAGGAGCAAGGCCGGTGGCTCGCGCGAGTCAGGCACCCGCATAAGAACTTTTCATGGTCTTTCCGGCATGAGGCTTTTCCGCAGCCTGGCGTACCTTGTATATAGTTCAGGCTGATCGTCATGACGGCAATGACGGCCACGAAGGTCCCATGCCCAGTCAGACCGAGAGTTGGCGTGCGCGCGCGCTCTCGCGCTCGCGCGCTCGCACTCTCACACTTCTAGTTTTTGTTTTCAGCACCACCAAGCTTGCTCAGGGCCTTCACAGCCGAAGAGGACTGCTGCTTCTCAGAGGCTTGGAGCCCCGCCTTTCCGACTAGGGAAGGTGATGCCATTTTACAGCTCGATGTGACACTGTCACTGAGAGGCCTGAGTGGGACAGCCTGTTTGACGATCTCGACGATGGTGAGTACAAGGTGCTCGCTGCTTAATGGTGCCTGCGCACAGCAGAATTTCTTCACCCTACTTGTGCAGGCTGACCCAGTCGCGGAGGCAGGAAATGCTGTACTGGTAGTTGAGCAGCCCCTCAACTTCTTCAACTCGAGCCTGTCGCAGGCAGATCCTCAGTCGGAGAGCTGGAGGCGGTGAGATGCAAGTGGAAACTGAGCCATTGCTTGCTGTTGTGCTTGAAGCAGACCTTAACCTCAGCAAGCAGAATAAGGATGAGAACATGAAAATTGGATTCGAGAAGCTGACTTAGTTACATTTGCCATTGCACTTGCAGGGCTGGCAGTGCTGTTGGTGCGACTCCGAGCAGGGAGAACTCTCCAAACACCTTCAAAAGGCGGAGTGACCGGAGTGCAACGGGATCTGAAGGTCCAGACTGGGACCACTTGTACAAGAGGCCTGGATCTTGGCCCAAGTGCATCTGCGGCTCTATGATTGCATCTCTCCGCATGGAGGCTTCCGGCGGTTGCGCGCTCGGCCGTGATGATTTGCAAGAAGGTTCAAGAATCTTTTCGTATTCCAGCCCAGGCTGCTCGTGGCGACGGAGCGGAGACAAGGCAGAAGGCAATGCTTGACATGTCCTCCGGCATCTCGCACGCTGCCCAGGCTCGACGATGACAAGCTTGACTATGCTGCGCTCTTCAGTGGCGCGCACGGGCCTCGGAAGATCTCGGAAGCTCGGGCCATGACCATTGTCATTGGCCGTGGATTCGAGGACGGATCCCGATGATGATGACTTGCCGGACTTGGCCGGAGACGGAGTGCTGTGCTGCCGGATGCTGTTGGGCTGGGACATGTTTGGGATCTGGCGTGGTGACCTCTCAGGTTGCAACGAGTGCCGCGAATGACACAGATCAACGGGCCCATTCCTCGGATCGCTCTTTGGGCAAGTGCATGAGCTTCGTTGCTTTACTTTGGCGGCAGATTCGCATCTCGGAGTTTTTTGCTGCTTAAGGCCGCAAGGCCTGATCACTCAGGGAGCCGAAGCGGTCGCCAGCTTATCACCCGAGGTGAGCTTTTGCAAACGCCATCTCAGCAGTTTCTCAACTCGGAGTTTGGGCTACCCTTGTCCTTTGCAGCGTATCTGTATTCTATATAACTACACAAATTCCAAGCAGCACAATGCAGAGCCATCGTGGTAAGAACACAGCAGAACCTAAATTCAGCCGCATGATGCGCTGAATCCTGGATGGCGCACGATCATTCAAATCTGCCTTCAGATAAGGTGAGCTGTCCACATCCGGTGCTGCACGTCAGGTTTGCATGCTGATTGAGCCGGCCAGTCTAACCGAAAGCCTCCGGGTCCCGAAACTATCAACGCCCGCGTGGTGCAGGAAGCCAGAGACGACAAGCGCAGCAATGCAGAGGTGAGGGATGGTGAGGGTGGAGTTGCCAGATTTCGATCGGGGCTGTCCTGAGCACTGAAGGAGATCGAGGACGAGGAGGAACTCAACGTGGCACAGCGTCGCCTCGTTTTCGCGCGAGCCTTACAGCAGTTGAGAAGACCATGGGCAAATCTTGGAGAACGGTTATTTAACTTGGGCAAATTTTGGAGAAATCTTACTTAACGATCTTGACACTACTGCCTTGCCAGGATTTGGACTCCAGCCTGGTGGATCTAGCCTCCAAGCAGCACATGAGTGGAAGATTTGAATGCCCAAGTTGTGTATATTCGTGCAACGGTTTACGGGAACTCGGACGAGGCATGCCATTGGCAAAAGGACTGAGCGCACCTGTTGAAGCGAGCTGAGTTAAAACAGCCACCATCCTAGAGCGTTTGCATGCAGTACGGTATCCTGGGCCACTTCAACCTTTCTGGCCACGCTGACGAGGGAGTGACTCGTCCGCAGTGACCTGTATTCGTGTTGCAGTGTGGCAGATGTCTTGATCGAGGTGGAGGCTTGGGGTGAGAAGCTGCTGCCAAAGGGGACGCTTAGTCTGGAGCTTCTCCCAGCCAGACCCTGCCGGGAATTTTGCGATTTGGAGGCCGAAGAATGCCCAATGAGAATCGACGAGCTGAGGCAGACTTCCGTTCTCACGGAGTCGAGCTGGATCTCAGCGACACCCATGCCGTGAGCTTAGCAAGAGTCATGGTTCGAGAAGTCCAGTTGTCCTTGACGAGCCGGACCACCTTCAGCCAGATGGGAGAACGAGGCTGTCTCGTCCGGTTTTCAAGAACTGGAGGAGTTCGTCTGGCCCTGAGAATAGGGGTTTATGAAATCCTTAGACCCTTAGAATCCTTACAACGAACGGTTTGCGGAAGTTCCCTCTTGCATCAAGATCAACCTTGCCCGACCCCGCTGAATGGACTTAACCTGAGTCCAGCGCCGTGAAGCGCGATGGTACTGCCGGGATCTTACGGGATGAGGTTGGGTAGATAATATGTTATATGTTGTTACCTTCCTCCGTAGATGAAGGTCACGACCCTGAGACTTTCCCGGGCCAAGATCGGACTCGGCCTCATCGGATGTGTGGGAGCTGCAATGCATCTGCGGCAAATGTTCTACTCTGCTAGTTAAATTGAGGTAATTCCGGAGCAAGCTGGATCGCAGGCATCTGACAGTAACATCGCAGGAATGTCAATGTCCCCCATCCCCCCCCACATTGGAGCCACTTGCTCTAGGTGCCCTGATGCGGAACTTCACCCTTACAGAGCTGGTGCTGCTGCCTCAGCGGCCCTGACAATAAAAGTGCCAGCCTGGTTGAACTTGGAGCCTGACTTGTTTGGAGGCTGAGCAGCAACTCCATCTCAGATGAAGGGGTTGCGCCTGGGTCGCGATTAAGTTGCAAAGGGCTAGCAAACTCTTGATGCAAGTGAGTTGATGTTCATAGGGTCGTCTTGCACACCTAAAATTTCAAAGTAACGATGTGCCAAATGGTGAGGACCCTCTTGCTGCTGTTCTGGACAGCAACAACACGCTCAAGAAGCTTCGCTCTTAAGGATTAAGGGCAGTGGAAAATGAGCCCATCGCTAGAGATCGATCCCATGCGGCGCTGAGAATCGATCTGTCCGACAACCGCGTGGGGTCAAGGACTGGGATTGTAGAGACTGCGCCACGCTGCGGAGTCTTCCGCGAAGCACATTGCTCTGAAGTCATGATATGCATGCCACGAAAAGAGAAATGATCTTCGTCCTGAGCAACCTGAGTTTAAGGTTCTTATCAACGGATAGCTTGTTATAGCCGTTCTGGGGGATCATGGTCACAAAGGCTCCTAATGGATGTTGATATATATGTATATTGATTATATTTATTTGCATGTATGGTCACCGCCTCATCGCCCCCCCCCCCCCCCCCCCCCCCGCCGTCTCGAAACTGCTTGAAATACCGATCAACACACGGTTCCAAAGATCCCAAACCGATGATTCCTGGAGGAGTGCCGATCCCAGACCCTAAACCAGAAGTGAAAAAAGCCAAGTCCCCAGAGAGCATCTCAGAGCTCGGTTTTTGTTTGTCCCCACACACGGTGTGGAGTTGCTACTGTAGGTTTTACGTCTTGAAAGTCAACCATGCTCCTCGCCTTCTCACCGTGTCCTCGCCCTTTGTCCGACCTGGTCTCATTACAGCCGAACATGGCTTTCCACTTTCCAAATTGTTTAGACTAATCTTCCATAATTCTACAGCTGGAAACTGACTGCTGCACCCTTTGCCTCCCTACATAGACAGACTGTGGTAGGAACCTGGTTTCGGTGTCTGTGTAGGGGGGGCGAGCATGTATGTCTATCTCCATATCTAGATCTATATCTATATATAATACAAGGTATACACATGTATATATATATGTATATATATACATATATATATATATATATATCTTTGTTTTACCTATCTACTCCAAACATACATATGTCACATGAGCTTCTGCAAAGAGCTTGGCACGCATCTTCGGGGGCTCCTCACAGGGGCGCGCAGCAGCTTGCCTCGGCCAGCTCCAGGCCGTGTTTTGTCTCTTGCTTTGTGTTTCGCTTTGTTTTTGTTTTAAACATCTGCTTGTTCAACTCCAGTTTCTGCTGCCTTGCGAGGAGTAGATCCTTGACTGATCTCGATCTGAGCCGAAACAGCATTGGAGACCAGGGCGCCGAGGCCCCAGCGAGGCACCACTGTGAGGCAAGGATGTCTGGGCATCTTGAAAAGTTGTGTGGCGAAGTCTTGCCCAGGCCGAGGAGTTTCTTTCGGTGTTGGACGTGGCGGTGCGGCCGCGACCGGCAGCCAGGAGCCTGGCAAGCCTTTCTTAAGGCTCAAAAGAGCCATTCAAAGAGATAGTCGAGTGACCCTTCCTGCCGCACTGGTTCCGTTCGCCACCCAGGCCTTGCGGATTTTGGACTTCTCCGGGAACTCGATAACCAGGCGGAATCGAGCATAACTTTACCAACAGGCCATGATTCCTGGCAAGCCCTGCAGGCGCACCGAGGAAAGGCTTCTTTCTGCCTTTCACCGGGGAATCACGGTGCCCCACAACGCTTTACCGCCGCATGCTGTCCGTAGGTTTTAGGGTTTGGGGTTTGGGGTTTAGGTTTAGGGTTTAGGGTACCAGGTTCTGGATTCGCTGCGACTGTCGGACTCCGACAAGGCGCAGGCGAGGCAGATTGGGTCAAGTTTGGGTCATAATCTCCGCTTTGGAAATCTTCGACATTGCAGATGCAGTTAGTAAAGACAGGCGTGATTTCCGCACGTCTTCGTGGAAGCATGTGAGCGTTTTCAACAAGCAGCCCGAGATCTGACGCATTCGAGAAGCGTGCAATTATATCAGCTGCTGTTCAGCTGTTATTCTCACTTTGGCGACTTCATGTCTCAGAACCTCCACAACTCTTAGGTGTTGCATGGGGGTGGTTATGCACAGGGCCTGCCATTCTGGACTATCGGGTTGGTGGGGGGTGGGGGGGTAGAGGGCATTTCAGTGGGGTCGGGACATGTTGGGGTGAGGAATGAGTCTGTTCGGCTGAGGTCTGCCGGAGGCCTTGGTGACTGTAGGATGCCCGTGAAGCTAGCCCACAATGCTCGCAACACTGTCTGTAAATCGCAAGCGGGACACGCGTCAGCAAGATTCGCCGCTCAACATGCAACGTTCCCTGCCCTGCAGCTGTACAACCATTCTGAACCTTCAGTCTCTGCATGTTTTCTACCACGCGGTTTGCTTGATGTGGCTCGCACTCCCAAAGCCGGTCCGTTCGTACCATGACCGTCGTGAGGAAGACATATCACGTAAAACATCTTCATACATACACCCCCCACTTCCCCACTGCGGCACGCTCTTCAAAGCAGGAGTTCGTTCGTCTGGCAAGCACGTCACATCTTGGTCGTGCTGCGTGCAGGCGCCGTCGGCTGATGCGGGCAAACCACCCCGGTTTACAGCGCGGCACTAGGAGTTTGGGACTAGTTGAAAGTGTCAGGGAAAGTTTGATCCTGATCACCTGTGGACGCAGGTCATATGCACACAGCAGGGTATCGAGATCCGTGCCGGCAGAGCTGGGCTCCTTCCCTAGCACATTATGGTTCACTGTGGTACGCTGCATGAGAGTTGAGATCATGGCAAACGTCCGGCTTTGGCAGGCCACGAGCACAGGTCAGCAGGGACCTCGAACAGCGATCGGCGAACAGGAAAGGCGCCTGACACCAGCTACTGACTGAGGCTGGGAGCAAGATCAAGGCGACGTCGAAGTCGTCCTTAAGCGGCCTGAGATGAGAAAATGCGACGCGGCGTGGCCTGCAGCCTGTTTACGACAAGGGCTCAGCATGAGGTTAGCCAGTTCCTGTCAGGTCCCTTGCCCACCACACCATGCGTGTTCCTACTTGCAAGTTCATGTGCATCCATGCCAGGGTGGTGGATGTTGCATTTGGTTATCGGAGATTGAAGGTCACCGTGCCCCCATGCCCGCATGCTTGAGTTTAGAGCCAAGTGTTGGGGCATGGGTGTGTCCAGATGTGTGCCTCTTCTTGAACCTGCAAGGGCGCAGGCACTATCTTGCTGCAATCAGAGGTACGGGCAGAGCTCATTTGCGATATTGAGCTCTTCGCGTCGGATGCTTTGTGACTATTGGCGAGTTACGTTTGCGCGGAAATGAGGGGAGGCGTATCTTTTTGCCTTTGTGAGGCGTATTCGGCCAGAGGATTGTGCATGGACTGTCGGCGATGGCTACCTGCAGATAGTGTTGGCCAAGGCCAAAATCGCAAGTGCATGTACTGATGATTGTATTTGTAAGTGCGCAGCGCTACCTCGTGTCGAGAACAAAAGAGTCGGTGATCAGCCGGCCGAAGCCTTGAACGCGTAGTGTAAGTGAGCTTGGGGGACATATTAGCTTGTCGTGTGCCTGTTGCCAAGTGAAGATTGGGTACGGTGGGAGATGTCACGACATTAAGAACACAGCACAGGGAGGCATCTCACAGCCGCCCGCCGAAGGATGACGTGCAAGAGGGTGCACTTGTTGTCTGTGCTCGGGGGCTTCTTTTGCCTGGGTAGGGTGGTGAGCGCTTCGAAGGCAGCAACGAGGAGGAATGCCGTAAGGGTTCGCAGGGGGCAGGTGGCGTGCAAGGGCGTTCCCAACGGTTAGTTGCTTTTCCCCCGAGTCGCACTGCAGCTCCCCCAAGCAAATTTGGCAACTCCCACACAAAAGGGTTCTGGGGTTGGTGTGGCGTGGGGGATCGATTTATTGGGAAGGGGGGAGCATGATGCTTGTTCCAGACGCTTGCCATGACATAAACGACTGCAGAAGGTGCATGGCCCGGCTTACAGCTTTCGTTTGAGCTCTGCGGAGTAGAAAGGGTTTATTCGACGTGTGGTCGATGGCATGCCAGCTTGGGCGAATCTGTCCTTCGATTTTACAGAACAGAGTCGCGAGTTCAGGTGTTCGCTTCATGCAGGTGACATCTGGAACCTACATTGGGCAAAGATGAGCTTTCTCTGTAGCCAGTACTCAGCCATTTTACTGTATTACTTGGGCGCATCCGAGAAGATGCTCAAATTTCCGGCATCTTTGAGCTACGTGACATCTCGGGGTCTTCCCAGGCATTTGTGCCTGGGCTTTTGGCTGGTCGGCTGGTTTTTGTTTCTGCGAGTTCTTACTGGGAGCAAAGAGAAGGGTCTTGGCCTTGGCATCTTTGTGGCACTGATGCTGCTCACTGCAGCTGTGACGGCGCGGTTCAACAGACCTCACCAACCCATCGCACATGATCGTATACATATGGCTGCTGCGTCTCTATATGTTATCGCGCATATTGTGCTAATGGATATCCTCGCGATGAGCTCACTATACAGAGCTGGCTTCTACACCTCGCTGGCCATCGCGGCTGCGTCCCTGCATTGGAGCAGAAGCGTCAAGCGCGAAGCAGGGGTGCCCGTAAAGCATTCTTCCAGCGCGGAGGAGTGGCGCAGCCTCTTTGCGCAATTGAGTAGCAAGCACGGCACACATCTTTGGTGTGCTGAGCTTTCATTCATGATCTTCGAAAACTTGATTTTCACCTCTTTCGTTTTAGGCCTCACTTCCGGCCTCGATGCCCGTGAGAGGTGTGCGAGTGTATAAAAAGCAGAAACGAGCAACAAATCGATGTCACAGCTGCCATATTGTCCGTGCGTGTGCCCGCAATACAATGCTGTGCATAGTCTGGCCTCGCTTGTCAGGCGGAAATTGGACGCTGGCAGTCTCTGACGGCTTGACCCGGCTTAGCACCTGACAAAATGGGTGCTGCTTTTGTGGGTGTTGACCTGTGCACGAACTGTTTGCCATGCCGTCACAAAGGAGGTTTGGCAGTGGTTGACTGGTAGACATTTCGGGCCAAACACGATATGGCCTCCCCCTCGAATCCACGCGCTTCCTCCGAGGACTGGGACATCTCTGAGCGTGAGGCTGTTCGGTTAACGAGTCTCTAGATTGCGACTGTGTCAAGCCTTGCGTTCAGCCGAGTTAGACTCTTCCCGAAATGGCACAGTAGAGCCGGCAGTGTTGAAGCCTCCCGGCAACTATTTGAGACGACACCGGTCTTCTTATTGTTGGCTTTACTTCACTCTCATCAAGTCTCTTCGTCTTCTTTCTTGGAATAAGTTAGAGGTTCGGTGCATTCCCAACTTAGTAGTTCACCCACCATCCCAAAGCCTCAACGCATCTCGAGACCGCAGAGGACCGAGACTGAGACACCAGAGACACGATGCTCCCTGACTGAAGTGACCAAAGTAAAGTGCGTTGGTGCATTCGCATCCTGCTGCAACATGCCGCGGAGCCAATGCTGGCTTGGCCCAGCTGCCTTCAGGTTGGATTTCATCTTTCCGGATCCGGAGGTGCCCATGCTCGCTGCCTGATGCTATGTGGTCGCCTGGGATTTGGGGCGGTATTTGTTTGGTTCCAGAGTGAATGTTGTGGGTGAAATAATGTGAAGTTGCAATCCAGCGCCAGTTTTGAATGCTGGCGTGAGCGTCTCAATCTCCACAAACTTCTGCCAGGGCATGTCGCCGCAGATGCTCTTCTGGATCTTCGTTACATATGGGCGCAGTCCCCAAATATAGCTCCACCTTGACAGCAACGCATTGCCCTTCAGCTCAATCGCCGATTGCAGCCGTTGCCTGACTGCATGCTTCCACCAAGGTATATCCTGTTCACAGCAGCCAACATGCTCAGTGACGGGTCAGAGCTTCTGCTCTTTATTCCGCAGGCCCAGCACATGTACTTGTACCTGTGTTGTCACACAGATCGCTGCATGTTGCGACTTTGAGAACTCGGGCGGTGATCTAACGTACCTGTTCGGTTCGGGAGCCTCGCAGCCGAATAAAGCTCTTGGCTGGCTGGAGGAAGGTGGGAGAAGTGAGGGAGACCGGGAGAATGTGGGGGCAATGGGGCTTGTGTTATCTTGTGTTCCGAGCTGGGAATCAATGTTGTCAGGCACGCGAGATCAAGTTTATGTCCAGATGATTAGATGTCCGGCTGAGAAGTGTTGCCACGTCACCACCGGCCGAGCGGGTAATGACGTCGGTGCAGTATCGCTTTGCCCGCAGCTTCTATGGCTCGGAAACTTTTCGCTCCCTGGTCCGACGAACATTTTGTGGACTGCCGCTCATGCAGCACTTAGTCTGGCAAGCATCAATGTCAAAAAATGTCAAAAAGCTTGGCAACTAGTATCGGCTAGTATCAGCTCGTGAAGCCTAGCCGCCTAGATCCGCCTAGTCTTAAGGTTCATCCTTCAGAATTAATCCTTCACTGTTGCCACAGCCACAGCTGCAAACCAGATTCCGCAGATTAAAGCCCCTGCTCAGGTGCCACTTTCTGAAGTCTACGTTGAATGCATCGACCAAGGCGAGTTCCGGGCACATTCATGTGCGCTCCTCTGAATGTGATTCGTAATGCGATCTGAATGTTCAGGCTGGCTGATGGGTCCGCATCCCAGTGCACATACGGCCCATAGGGCGGCTGCTTGTGGCCCCCGCCCAATCATGCCATGTCCATGAGAACCAGGTGGCCAACCCAGCCGCTTTGCACCTAGAGGCCTGAGCGTGGCTTGAACATGGGAGGGTTGTTCGGCATGTTTTGCACCATTCCATGGAGTGCCATACGAACAGGTGTAGAGTCCAACCATCAGGCCGGCACTGGCATTCGCAACGTTCCAGGGTGTCTCAATATGAGTGGCATGCATGAAGATGCGTGAGGGTGCATGAAGACGCATGCAGAAGATGTGGTTAAACTCATTGAACTCGGGCAACTCGCTCCGTCACTCCGTCTCTCTGCTTGCACAGGATGGGCCTTTTGATAGAGACCTGGAACCCTTCGAGGTTATCTTGACTCGCACCGATGCGGAGGCCAGGTATGGCCAGGTATATAGGGATAGAGAACAGCTGTCCTCGCCTCTGAGCGTGAAAACATGTGAAAACCATCCGCAGATCTCAATCCCGGAGGCCTGGGGTTTAGCTTGGGATGCGCGCGCTCGAGGGGCCGTCGACTTAATGGGAAAATGGACGGCGAGTGTCATGGGTTGTCAGATGTTGTCAGCAGTTCTAAGCCCGGCGGCCTAGGTCCGGCGATTGTTGCTGGCCGGCGTTGACCCGTGCTCGCCAGCCGGCCGGTGGAACCATGAGCGACAGGCGCAACACGTTACACCACAAAGCATAGTGGCCATGCCATATAGCCATAGCATATATAGCGTGGAGCTCGTGGAGCTTGAGCTCGTGCAGCTGCCAGGCGCTTGGTTTGCGAGGGTTTTCCCGCGGGGATGAGCTCTTCGAGGTCAACGGTTCATCTGGTCATGACAAGATGCGAGAGGAGCTTGCAGCATCAAGAGTGGCGAGGCTGCTGTTCCGATGTGCGGATGCCAAAGTTGAATCCTATTCACTTGAAGCGTTTCAGAGCTTGTGTTCAAGTTCCGTGCACCGAAGCAGCTCCAAGCCAGAGTGCAAAGAAGCCACCAACGCTGCAAGAGCTCTTGGCATCGGTCCACTCGAGGATGAGTCTTGTCCGGTAAGACGGCTATCTCTCTCTGATCCGCTTCCTCTGGCGACCGCTCGACGGCTGTCACTCATGGAAGAGGATGCTTTGAGCGACACCAGCGAAACCTCATTTTACTCTATTGATTCTCGCGTGTCCTCTGTATCTCATTCGTCTTGCTCGCAGCGGCAGCCCTCGATCTCGAGTGGAAGGTCTTGCCCCTCGACGGACTGGGAGTTTCAAGCATACCAGTGCCGAGATGGTGAGATGATACCACCTTCCCCAAGACCAACAAGCGGGCATGTCTGCACCTCAGAGTCTAGGAATCAATGCTAAGCGGCTAGGTCACCAGGTTGGTGTTGCCGGTTGCTTTGACGGAGCCGAGCTAGTTCCGGAGGCCGAGGGCAAGTGCACGGGTAGCAGCTTAGGTCTCAAGCTCATCGTCTGGGCGGGGCCGCCGCAGAAGGAGAGCCAATCCCCAATCCAGCCAGTCCAATCCAAAGCCTTTGACTGGCCCTCCAGCCAACTCAGCCAACCCTCCTCCCAACCCTTCCATGAATGCATCCCTTCCGCCCGCCGTGCCTGTCTCACCGTTTCCCCCCACCATGGTGCCAGCCTCAGTCTTGTTTCGTGTGCTCCGCGTGCTTCTGTTGAGACTCAGAAGTGACTCAATGGTGCGACACGGTTTCCAGCTGCTAGCGCGCATATATATATTATATTATATTATATTATATTATATTATATTATATTATATTATATTATATTATATTATATTATATTATATTATATTATATTATATTATATTATATAATATTATATTATATACATATATATATATATATGCATACACTTAGAATATGTATATATATATATATACATGCATACACATATGCATATACAATATACCTCTACGTATACACATACAGATACACACACACACACACATGCACACATGCACACGCACCCACCCACCCACCCACCCACACACCCCACACCACACACACACACACACACACACACACACACACACACACACACACACACACACCACACACACACACACACACACACACACACACACACACACCACACACACACACACACACAAACACACACACACACAACAACACACACACACACACACACACACACACACACACACACACACACACACACACACACACACACACACACACACACACACACACACACACACACACAACACACACACACACACACACACACACACACACACACACACACACACACACACACACACCCACACACACACACACACACACACACGCACACACACACACACACACACACACACACACACACACACACACACACACACACACACACACACACACACACACACACACACACACACACACACACACACACACACATGCACAGCCTCATATCAGTGCACGGCCAGGTTCCTGTGATGGTTCCTATGGTCGGTGCACCTGTGGGCCAGCACTTCTTGGCGATGGCACCAATGCCGCCCATGGCGCCGATTCCAGGCGCTTCGGATTGATATGTTAGATTCATTTACATGATGATGATGACGACGGCGACGATGATGATGTCTATTTAGTGGAGACTGTGAGACCCTGTTCACTTCTCGGTGCTTAGCATCAGTCCGTACTTTTTGACTCTTGTTTGCGGCGCCATGCCTTTGAACTTGTGGGTGTTTTGGCTTCTTGCCCGGGCTCCTTTCCTGCCCTGTCTTGCCTCCTACAGATTTCTAGTTCCGCACGCTCCTGCTTCCTGGATTTTAGTGAGTGCTTTGCCTCAGGTGGTCTTGGTGTTGCAGTGCCTTTTCCGGGTGTGATGGCTCCCATGGAGGCTCCGCAGTTCATGCCAGAGCCAGAAGGCAGTGACATGCCCAGAAGCAGCGTCTTCGCTGCAAGCAGAGATCCAGAAGGTGCACCAAGTGCGCCCTTGAGCCCCCAGGACAGCATGCCGATTGACGCATGCAGGGATGAAGCCATCACGTCAAGCATGAGCAGTGGCAATGACCAGTGCCCCGAACCAGCAGAGCCTGCGGCAATATCGCCGCCCGCAGCATGCGACAGGCAATGCAACGGGCAAGCAGCGGCGTGCATGCAGCCGCCGCCTTTGCAGCCCCCTGGGCCTGCCGTTAGTGAAGTCGCTGCTGTTGGCCCGCTCCAGCCGCGCAAGAAGCCAACGCGCCGCGGCGGGAAGAGGGCCAGGCACAGGCCATGCCACGCTGCGGCAGCCGCGATGGAGTGGGCCTCCTCGGTTGGAAGTGCAGAGACACCCAGCTTTGGAGAGCCCGCATCAGGGGAGGAAGCAGAGGGCGAGGGGGAAACTCAAGGCCGAGAAGCTCGTCTTGAGGCCGTACCCATGTCAATGCCTGTGTCAGCACAGGTGCGGGAGGAGCCCAAGGCATCCAAGGCATCGAAGCCTCGCTCCTTCTACCCTCTAGCTGCACGGTTACGCGTGAGTGCTGGGCTCAAGCAAGGCCCACAGGGCGGAAGCGCTCAGGTCCACGAAGTCAAATCAGATGCAAACAAGTCTGAGACAGTGACGATGGTGGAGCCGAAGAAGGCTGCAGATTGGAGCTGTGCTTGGAGCAAGGATGAGGCGCTGAACGATGCAATCGCGCGAGATGCCAGAGAATGGCCCAGACACACCATCGAAGTCATCGAGGAGGTTGAACCTGAGCCGGCTTCAGCATCGGATGTCTCGGACATTCCGACCCAAGCTGAGCCGGCAAAGAGAGACCGCCAAGGAGACTTCCCACCAGGACCCGCAATTGGGAGTACTCTAGCATACTCTAGCAATTTTTTTGACAATGTGAGCCGGGCCTTGAGATTTGTCGCAGTCTAACCATGTCTAGCCATGCCTGGCCTCAGTTCTTGCATGTTTGTTGCTCATTTTCCTCTGAGAAAGCTTATAGAAAACCAGCAGCTTTGGCAAGCGGGTGCCTTCAAACATGTCAACGTGGGGCAGGCTTGCTGCTGTCCAACTTTGTGCAGCATTGTCAGTTCTGAGCCGGCAGGAGCACCAGCCTCAAGTTGGCCACAAGGAGTGAACCTGCAGAGAGGTGTTCTGAGGTGTTCTTGCTCTGCTCCCCTTGCTGCTTGCACTGACGCAGACGTTTCAGCGACAGGTCTCCACAATTGAGCTGTAGCAGCTTATAGGGAATGCTGCATTCTCATGATGTCAGACCAGTCACTTGGAAGCTTCAAATTCCACGTCCGTAGGGGAGCCTCGGTGCTAGCGATAGTACCATGCAGTAATAACGAGGTACTTGCCCTGCGCTGTTGTTCTTTGACCGCTGACCTTCAGATCCTGTCGGGACTGTACCCCTACACCAACTGCAATTCCATGACGCAATGTGTCATTAAGTATTCCAGTATTTCTTCCTTTCCAGTCATGAATGCTTTTATCGTGGATTTACAACTTCAACACTCTCTGTTGCACTGAAACTCTTTGAAAAAAATCATGATGGCACTTTAAGACACACACACACACAAATTTAATGACTTTTTGTTTAATGAGTTTTTCATTCTATCTTGAAAGCTTAATATCGCATAGTAAAATGTTGTAGTAATATGCAATGAAAAGATGGTACTGCGAGACTGCAAGCCCTCTTGAAGTTATCGGCTGGATTTTCGTGGTCGGCCAAGCTGCCTTTCCTGAGGTACATACATAACCTGCTTTAGTGACGCTGGCAACGATGACGATAGCGATGATACCGAGTTAGTGCTCATGCTGCCTCAAGGGTTTTCCGGCCATCCGCTGTCTTGCTTCTTGGCTTCTGATCCAGGACCCCGTGATGTGCGAGCGAAGCGGGCTCCGCGAGCCTGGCCGACATCCCAGCAAACACAAACTTTTCAAAACCATTCCGATGCGCCTCAAAGGCGCTCAGCACGGGGCCGCCGGGTTGGAGAGCGGACCCAAAACTTTCGAAAATGAACCGAAGTCAGCTGATTTCAGCTCAGTGCCCTCTGAAGTTTCATGGCCTAAACAGGACAATTGTGATGTCAAGAAGTGACACTCTGCCTCACTGGCAGAGCTCTTGTAAATTCTTGTATCGTATCGGGAGTTTCACCGTTTGAAGCGGATGTCGCATGTCGTTTCAATGGGCGTGAAGTGCATGACACACACACACACACTACTGCTGTACTGTACTGAGAGTTTGAGTATGTTGGCTTTTCATGGCAGAGCTCATAAGTCGACATTCCACTCAAGACTCGTGTTTCACCGCGCGCGAGACGCTTGCCGTGATCATGTAAGTAAGTTTCTGGAAATCTCGCTGTGGACGAAGCTTCTAAGTACACCGCAGTCCTGCCTTGCCAATGTCACAACCCCGCCATCAGCTGAGCTGCAGGTGGCGGGCCTTGTTGGGAGCGTTGTCCTGCCGGTGCTTGGTGCTGTGCCGGATGGCATGATGCATCCTACCTACACAGAGCTGAAGCTACAATCAAAACTGGTTCATTCGTCCTCTGAAAACTGAGGGTGCTCTTCTCCGGAATCGGTCCAACAGAAAAGGCGCAAGAGAACGTCCGCCATTCAGACGGAAACCAGCTCGACACATCAGAGGAACCTGAGTATCGCCTGAGCGAATTCAGGTTGCCGTTGGGGTTGGAGCACTAGCAGGCTGCGGTCGGTTCCTTAGCTGCGGCTGGCAACAGCAATTTCATGCTGCGACTCAGGTAGTACCATCATGCTCCTCACAGTGCCCTGGTTTCTGGTACGCCCGCAAGCTGCCATGCTCTAGGGCTTGCAGATCTCCGCATGCCAGGGCGTTCTCGGAGGCCGAGTGGACATGGAGGGTGGCAAATGCCAGTATACCGGCAATGACAAGAAGCTCTCGAAGGTGTCATGTGCCATAATGTGCCATGCATATCCTCTACCTTCATGAAGTACTTCCAGCGTGCTGTGCAAAGGGCGGCTTGATGAATACCTTGTTCTCTACCGGAATCCGTGTTGCCCTCAGTGCAACTAGACAGGACTGGGTGATGTGGTGATGCGACATTGAGGTTACAAGCCAGAGATTAAAGCAAATTGCAAGATCATGATGTTCACAGCAATGACGTGCGCAGCGGGCAATTGGATGTTCACCTCAGTATCCCTGTGCTGCTGAGTTTTGCAATGCCTGTCAGCTTTGCATTTCCGTGTTTCCGTGGATTCAGAAAGTGCTTCTTATGAGCACAGGTACATGATCATCCAGGTTCCAGCTTTCTGGATTGACACCCAAAAACCTGCCCTCACGGAGAAGGCACATGACTGTGATGCTGTGTAGCGCTGCCAGATGCAGCTGGAGCCATGAGTCTATGAGCATGAGTTGGAGTCGACACAAGGGTTGCCAACCAGCTGATCTCAGCCCCCAAACCGCCCTACCATGCCCTACCCCAGACCCCTGGCAGGCAATCGCAAAGGAGAATAATAAAGAATCCGCTCGGCCCCAAATTTCTGAACAACATTGTGCTACTACTGTCCTTGGTGACATGCTGTCGAGGCATGGGCACTGCTAGGCATGCTTCTCTGCATAGTTGAGTTTTCCATGTGCCCCCACTCTGGTTTGCGTGGCCGGAAAGCATGGACCGGATTTTGGACAATGTGTCCTGACCAGGTACCTATACATGCAGTATGCTGCGGGTCTCCCTGAGCAGAAGCTTCCACATTCAGTTTCAAGTGCGGAGATGCTGCGGGTGCGCTCACCTAGAACAGAAGCAGCTCAGGTTGTTGAAATTGTTTCGCAGCGTTTCACATTCGAGGCAAAGTTCGACAGCTGCCTTGCATGGGCACGGGAGAAGATGTCGGGCGTTGGCATCGCGCCGTCGGGCCCCGCAAGTTTTCTCAAGTGCTGTGAGAGTGCGGTTGGACTGTGCAGATCTGCGCAGGACATTCTGTAACAGATTCTTGGGAAGCATTTCTTGATGATGCCAGGGCAAAGGCACGAAGCTATGCCACAGCCATCATGAAGGCTCAGGAGTCGGAAGCTTGCGATTGTGCTGAAACAGGGCTGTGCTTGCCATCTGTGAATTCTGAAATCAAGCGAACAACATCAACCGGGATACGAACGTGAAGCCCATTTAAGCCCACACAAGGCTCGGCGTCAAAGCGTGGATGGAAGAGTTTCGTAGAGACGCCTGGACTATGCTCCACTATGCCCAGCAGAGTGCACGGTTCAATTGCCTCCCGGAAAGCATGTGAATACTGTGAAACAAGGATTGGAAGCTTACAGAGCAAAGCGAGGCCAAAGTTGGGCAAAATCTGCTCCTCCTGATATGCCCTTCCGATTATCTAGGTGCACCATTCACCTCTCACGGTTTCTCGATGTTTTTCAGGGAGGTCTTTACTGCATGGTTTGTCACGCATGTGCTTTCGGCACCGTGGTTTGCCTTATAACTTATGCTCGTATTTCGTCTCAGACTGCCCCGCCTTTCATTGACAGAAAAACAAAGCCTTGCTCGACCACGTCACCTTCCCCAAAGAGTTCAGAGACACGCTGCGCGGTCGCATAGCTACGCAGCTCCGGGAATGAAGCGCCCGCATCCGGCAAAAGAAGTCAAAAGCGCTTCGACCAAGGCTGACAATGTGGTTTCGAAAGTGCGCTTACCGTCTGGCAGAGCACGGAGTAGCATGGAGCAGCACAAAGCGTGGGGGTTCTTCGCTGTTCGACATAGCATGACATTGTTTTGCAGGTACGCCAGCGACTGTGATGGGCAGAGAATGACAGAGATGGACGCGTGGGGTCTCGCTAGCCTGGCTGGCAGTGGCATCTTCGGAACTCTTGCAGCCTTGCAGGATTTCAACAACCTCCTGCGGGTCCTTCACCTGCATGGCAGCTGGCCTAGAAATCCAGAACGTGCAGCCATTTAAAAATCAGGACGGATGAAATCCGGTCTGCTTGTAGAAGATGGGTTCAGGTTATAATGCCAACCAGCTCTTCAAGCAGGCAGGATGGCAGCAAGCACGGATCACCCTACACTGACACTGCATGTTTTTATGGGACGAACCCGAGGTGGATGTGAACAACGATGGCGACTTGGACTGGTAAGCTATGAGTTTATGTCTGTTGGTTTCTGCAACTTGTGGGCGGTTTCGCAACAGCCACAAAAACTGCTGCACATCGAAAAATGCTCAGCTACCACGTGCCATTTCGTTCCTCTCTGCAAGGGTGGGATTGGCGGGTGTCGTCAAAGCCCGCCCTTTTCCTGTAAAGACCATGTCTGGAGGGGAAGGATGGGGTTCCATGCCTAGCCACGAGCTTAAGAATGAGTGTTTTATATCTCAACTCTCAACCCTCACTGCCAGTAGTTTTCATTGCAAGGAAAGCTTCAGAACCCAGAACTTGTGAGTTCACTCGATTCTCGGAATGCTCGGAACGAGGCAGTATCGACCAGGATGAATTCTCAGCTCCATGGCTGCAACTGGCTGCAGTGGTTCGAGTTGCTGCAGAAGAGCCTATGCCAATTGTGACTCGCACAGCGTGCACAGCCATGCTCGAACCACCTGAAATGGCCTCACATGCCCAGGAATGCTTCAAGCATTTGGCATCGCTGCCGCCGAAAGCGCCGCCTAGGAAATCTCGGGCAACGGCTGCAACAATTGCAGCTCAGTGGCAAGCTGCGATAGCTGGGCCTGGTGCCATGTTTTTTCTTCCTTTCGACTGCATGGTCGAGTGTCCTCCTTCTTGTGCTGCACAATGCTTGACGAGGAAGCCGTGTCACTAGCAGATGTGCCCGCCCCAGCAGAGAAGGAAGAAGAAGAGGGCGATGACGACGAGGCATTGCCAGAAATTGCCCACCATCTCTGTCAAGTTGCCGAGTGTTGCCCACGGTGTCACTTGTGACATTGTGACAGTTGTGACAGTTGTGACTAGGAGGAGGAGGAAGAGTCCATGCCTGAGGCCAGACACTTGGAGACTTGCCAGGCTGTGTGTCCGCGCGCTGAGCATCGCTAAGCGGCAGGAGTTCAAGGACTTGACCGTGGAAGAGCAGAGGCATCACAGTACATCACAATGCCGCAGATGTGTTGTTCCGGAAGAATATGCTGCACACGCACTGCACAAGTGTGTATCTCGAACAAGCCCGGCCGTCCCCTGCTTTTCTTTGAAAAGCCGGAGCAGCGAGGCGGCAGATCCTTCTCAAATCGAGCTATTTGATGGGTTCCGGTCTCAGGAGCTGCAGGTGGCTGCAAATTTGAAGAAAACCGGCGACAACTTGAGTTCACAAGGGCCTTGAACTGAAAGGACGTGACAAGAGTTAATGACCCTTTGCCCAATGCTGCCACCGGTTGAAGCCGACGCAGCGCCAGTCGATGCAGCTGATCATTGTAGTTGCTGTTTTGTTTGGCAGCCTGGCAATTCAGATCAGCTTCGATTGAGCCATCGGTGAGTCTAAAGCGCTGGTAGCCTTCGCTTCTCGGATGTGCAGCCTGCGGGACTCGAACCTGCCTCTGTCTTCAACTGGCATCTTTCTCCCCCAGTGAAGATTCACTGGGTTTGTCGGCCAGTCCAAACTGCGACGAGGGTGATGCCGAAACTGAATGGCAGAATCCACTGAAGAGCAGGTATTGCGCGAAGCATCGTGTAGAAGTAGATTCGTAGAGCGTGCAGAGATGTGGCCCGTAGCCAAAACCATAAAAAACCGTTGTAGAACGACAGGTACCGAAAAGCGACACCCCCCTGTTGCGCGACCTAGGCCCGACAACTAGAGTGTTGACGGTCGATCAAATGGTTACGTGCGAACTGGCAGAAGCCCCCTGTGGACCCTGCTGGTACAACTTTTGCAACTGAGGTCACCATAACAATGCAACAGGCACGCAGCGCCCAAACAGTTTTTACGCTCGCTGGCATCGTTATGTTCTGCTCATGAACTAAGAATCACAACGAAGAGTTCGTGTTCGACTTGGCTTTCTGTTGGAATCATGAGCTGCAACTTTTGCAATTCCAGGTGGTTCTTGTTTCTTGGATCATCAGTCGGCATTTGCTCGTAAAAGCCGCGGCACGGGTGAACCACACATTATTCGGTCTCGCTCGTGGGTTTTCATGCGACGTCTGAAGCTTGCGACTCTAGGTTTCATGGCGAGTCACTTGAAAAAACGAATGGTTAGAGCATCCAAAAAAACTAGCAAGTATTTGTCAAGTCATGAAGCAGCATAGAAACAAAAGGAAGTCTCGAGATTGCTGGCGGGCGGGCTTGGGCAGGTCTGAAACTTGAAAGTTTTGGAAGCTTCAGCTTTTGAGCCACACGACAGTTTTGAGTCACTAAAGTTACAGTTAGTAGTGGTTCAACGGCTGGTATTGTTGGTGATATATGGTTTGACTGTGACGCAGCCGAATGCCGAAAGGCTTAAAAATTAAGCGCGCTTGCAAATGAATAAGGTTTTGGAACGCTGCTGGTCCTCGTCTTCTCCGATCCTATGGTAGATGTGCTAGCTGAAATCGGGTCCTCCTGGCTGGCCTTGGGTGTTGTTGTGGACGTGTCTTGCTTGATGGCTTTCGTAGCGCAAGTGCGAGGAAGCAGAGTGGCATCCCATCCTTCTACATTTCATTTGCCGCGGCCCCGCAACGCGACTCGTGGCTTTGGAGGCTGAAGCTTTCATGTGAGGTATTGGCACCTATGGCCTCCAACTCCTCCGAGTTAGTCGCTGCGTTGGGGCCTCACAGAGCACACCCGCATGACACCTTACGAGCAACATGAATGATGCTCTGCGGAAGTCCTTTTGAACATGTGAAGATCCAGTTGTCCAGACATCAACCGATGGAGCAGTTATCCATGCATTTCTGGCCTGACTCGACTATCTTTCAATCGCTCGCTCTGCCGGCGTGTCTGTTGACGTGCGTGTCCTTCTTGCTGATGTTGCAGGTACAATTATGCATCACGCAAAACGTCCAAGACGATCACAATTGCCTTGAACACATTGGAGGCACGTTTCAGTTTGCCAAAGACTTTCTGAAGCCCCTCAACTGCCTCAGCTGCAGTGGGAGAGCCGTCCAGGGTGCCGCTTGCATGAACAACACCTTCTGCCTCGGCATCTTCATGGCACTGGTTTACTTCCAGGCTTTCGCAGATATTTTTTGAAGCTGCCACTTTGATGAAAGGCAGACCTTATCCTGAACTTGGCGCATTGTATGCAGGGCTTAGCTTGGAAGTTTACCGCGGAGACCATCACGATCCTGGTGGTGGAGCGCGAGCCTCGTTGGCGCCCGTCCTTTCGTTTAGTGCAGAGCTGGCCCAACACCTAGGTTTGCTGTCGCTTTTTTGGTGATGCTGAACCATCATCAACGGGTCTTTGATGCCCCGGCCTCAAGTGAAACGAGATCATGAAATCATGGACGACGGTCAATTCGAGCTGGCACCTAGCAGATCAGTGTCACCCTCGGGGGTGTCAGGCTTTCCTCATCCTATGCCTGTTTCCAGGAGCTTTGGCAGGGTTCCCGGAGATTTTTGCGCTTTGTGGCCAGCGTCAGCTCGCTTTCTCATCGTTACCATTCTTTCGACACTATATCAGATCAGGCTTTGGTTTACGTCCTCGAGAACTATGTCGGACTCGACTGATCCCAAAGTCCTGTTAGTCTGACTCCCAGACTGCGGACGATGGAGTCCCATCCGAGCTTGCTAGGGATATGAGCACGGCAAGATGCACGTGAACCCCTGAAGGGTATTAGTTTCAAGCAGGTGGCGCTTCGCTTATACGGCCAATGACACGACCTGCAATCACGAGCTGAGGGCAATGGCATGCTGTTGTTTGATGCCATTTGCCCCTTGCTGTTACCTTGTGGCTGTCTACTTTGCGTGCAAAGACGTGGTGCTCCAGCATGTCCAACACGCGCCTTATGTCATAGCCGGTGGTTCGTTTGAAGTTGAATGTTTCGCCAAAAACTAAAAGCCGTTGTCATGCTGGGTCGCGAGGAGCACCCTGTACAAAGTGGAAGATCAAGGAACACAGCATGCGCTGTGAGTCTCGCAATTCAATCAAAAGGTGCTTTTGCCAGCGACTCATGTCGATGTTTTCCACTTTTTAGTGGTGCCCTCTCTCACTAACCTCGTCCGACAACTGATAAGCACCGAGGGCCGGTTGCTCGGGTTTCGACGGTCCTCATGGCAGGCAGCCCCTGCGTTGGTGAGCGAAGTAGAAGATCAGCAGTGGAAGTAGAGGGTCCACAGGTTCGGACTGCAGGTTCTGGGTTGAGTTGTGTGCGTTTTCAAAGGCAGGCAGGGCACGGTTTGAGTTCCGTTTGGGTTTCTTCGTTGCTGCGACGGCTCCAGTAGCCGCGCTTCGCGCAATGCCCTGGTTCCTGACCTCTTCTCTGACAGCCTGCGCATTGTGCATTCCCTTTAATTTAGCTGCCCCTTTGCCAAAGAATGCAAGCAATGCAAGTGGACAGATGACGGTGCCTCGGTTGGCTGGATTCGCAGTAACTGGGTACATGCCCTCGGGCGAGTCCCGGCAGATGGCTTTGGACCCGCCCTTCCCGGCCAAAGACCGTTTTGACTTCAAGTGCTACCTAGACAATGCTATGGCTGACTTTGACCTCCTTGTGCAGCCCGAGCTTTATGCGGTGCTCTCTGAGCTGTGGGAGGATGGAAAGGAAGTGACAAGCCGCTCTCATCTTCGCAGAGTTGCAGTCGCTGAAGGGCAGGAGAAGGTGTTTTCCATCAGCCTCTCAAGCATGCATAGCAGAGAGGTGTCCAAGTACACGCTGCAGGTTCTGCGTCGACTTGGTTTCTCGACGTCGCTGCAGAAGCTTACTCTCACGACAGGATCCCTGAAAGAGCGCTTCCACGAGCAAACTGCAATTAGCGTTTTTCACGCATCCCAGAACTTCACAGATGACTTCGCGCACATTGAATGCACGAAGCAAGACAGCGGCCAAAACGTGTCCTGTGACTTGGAAGCTGGAGAAACATACGGAGATTCAAGCCCCTCTGAAGCAGAGTTGACACTGTTTCCTGAGCTGTACACGCCTTCCTTAGAAAAGAACTTCGGAATGGTGGTCGACAGCACAGACCGAGTTGTTGGCTGTACAGCACCGATCGATTCCTGGCGACAAGTGACCATAAAGATCGGCATTACATCTGCTGACAGAACACAGACCCGGGACATACGACTCGTTATCAAACGCTCAGGCTGTGAAGTTGGCACGTTTTTCCACGATGGAAGGTGCGCTCTGCACTGTCCAACCTTCTTCTACGAGCAAGCATTCAATCGACGATGTGGAGCTTGTGGAGAAAGTTGTGAGCTTTGTGAGCACTACGCGAAGTGCACACGTTGCCAGCTGGACACCCGTTGGCGCAAATACAAACGCAAAGGCGGCAGCTGTGTGGCGGTGCCAGTACATGTGAACAGGATCTACTATTTTGCGACCTGGTACTTAGGCACCTTGGACGGACAAGCAATTCTTTCCATCAGTTCTGAGGGTTGACCTATCCCCAACGATGAATTGAGTGTGCTTTGAGGCCTAAGCTGCGTTCTTCTGCTGGCGTTGTACATCACGGTCTGCGTAGCTCGCTGCCTCCTTGTCGCGGGGTATGACAAGGCAGGGGAAGGGAGAGGGTCAGGTATTCGAAGAGAGTCGAAAATGTGCTTCCTCCCTGATGACTAACTACTAGAAACGAATGCATTTCCTCCATACCGGTGAGTCGCTCAATGAGCCCATGAGTCGCAGTTTCCGACCCACAACTCGTGACTGTTTACATGAACCACCCCCCACAGAATGCATCTTGTACATGGAGACCTGGCAAGACCAACGAAGGGCAGCTGTCTAGGGCTTAGGATTTAGGACCAATTCCCAGTACAGAGAGCGCCCGTACATGCCACGGTCTTGGTGCAAAAGCTCATGCCTTCATCAAGTCATCTTCGTGTAGCAAAGAGCGTTTGCACGGCAAACCATAGGCAGGTTGGGCACGGCCCTTTTGCGACATGAACTCAGGACATGCATGTTGTAGCTAGGGTGGCCCACAGCAACAGCATGCTAGAGTTCTTCTTGTCCCTCCCGCCCTACCCTGAGCATGTCCATGGTGTTAAAGCTCGGGGCTTCCAAACATTCCTTTGTAAAAGGGGTGAACACACGCACGTTCAGACGCCGTTGTTTCCATCGGAACCCGTCAACGTCTGAGACGCTAGTGCCACTGTCTCAGTTCTCGTATTTCAGTCATAATCACATCAGTTGTCAAGTGTTCGTCCGTGGCAAAGGACAACGACAAGCTGACAGATGATGAGACAATGCCCCTTACCTTGCGAGAAGTCCATGGTGCTGTGGGCTGATGCACAACAATGAGCCGCGTGACGCGGCTCTTTGCCTTGGTGGAGTCGGAGCGACCCCTCCGGGTTGCGACCCTCGACGACATGGCCATCGTGAGGCCACTTGCAGCCCAAAAAGCCTAAAGCAAGCGCTGCAAGCGCTCCTGAAAGTGGACACCGGCCATTGGCATGGACGACATGACGTTCGCAGGCATGGGCACAGCATGGCAAAGCGTGATGACGTTTCACGACATGAGGAAAGCGATGGATACGGCCCATGTAAGGCAACATAGCTGCAGCGACACAGTACTTTCGGAGACTCAGCAGGCGGCAAAATCAATGTTCCAACAGTTGCAAACTCTAATTCTGCCTTATTCTGCCTTCTTTGGAGTCTAGATGTGAATCAGTCAGCCGTTGTTTGAGCGGAACGAGAAGGAATGGGTCGCGTGGGGTATAGTTTGGGAGCAGCGATCAGCCTCACTCCGGGGCTCCTGAGCAGCTTCTTGCTCCCACAAGCTTAAAGATTTTTTCAAAATCTGCAATGTACACAATTCTCGACTCGAATGCGCACAGCTGGCACGTGCAGCACACGCCCTTGTAGCAAGACACAGATCGCATGGACTGACATTCTCATTCAGCAACCCAGCTGAGAACTGTCTTGCCAGCATCTGCGAGATGACGATAGCTTGCACATGGTCTGCTTGCGCCATGCGATCGATGTTGGAATAGAACCTGCAGGTGGTGCAGTAGAAGAAAGAGAAGTGGAAAAGACACCCAAGCATGAGATCAGGTTGCCTTGGCCTCGTCATTGATGGCATCTTTCTCGTCGAATCTACCCTCACGCCATGCCCAGCGCCCCTGATTCCTGGCCCCAGTTGTCGGTCTGAGAACGGATCCCCAATATCCAAGCTCAAGGCGTTGCCAGTCGTTAGAACGGCTGTTGCTGATTTCAATGTCGTTCGGAACATTCAGCATGTGATGTTGGAGAATGTGCACAATTACAATGTTATAAGTTTATACAGGTTGCGTAGCGATTGTATTGCACCGTCAGGTACGGCGAGCACTGGGGAGAGGGTGCTGCACGCTGTTTCAGCTTGGAAGCCGACATCCTTGACGAGGACTGTGCGCTGTTCCGGGTGTGGAAAACTGTCTCTTGGCCCAACCCAATGACCTTTCAGTGGCCCAACGTTTCCCAATGCATGTCAATGTCCTGACTTCCTCCCAGACCCTGAACATGTGTGGAGTGGCTAGCTGCTTTCACGATCCGTTTACTTGCACTCGTGACCACTGACTACTGTGCACAATAATGTGCACAGCATTTAATGTTGGGCAGGACCATGCTGTGCGCCTCATGCCCGTCCCTGACAGCTTCGCCAGAGCCCAGTAGAACAGTCGCGACAGTCAGATGCTCCTTAGAACATCACTCAGGTCTGTCCCATCTCAGCGGCGATTATGGCCGCAGACCTCAGCCCGCGCGAGTATCAATCACGGCCTCACACAGGCCGCGCGCGTGTCTTGAGGTTGACCCCGTTGCCACCGTAGACGGCTCCGTCTACGAGAGAAACTACATCGAGAGGCCCGGTTGGCACTGCAAAGCGACGCAGAGCATATCGTGGATGTTGTCAAGTAACCAATTGCAGCTTGGATCTTGAGTCTTTAGTATCGGCTGGATCCAAAGCTAACATCGACCGTAAGCATGCGCAAGGGTCCTCATGATCTGGTTCAATCCCGTCTCGAAAAGGTGGTTTCGAGAAAAGCGGCAGGAGGGAAATCGCATCACGTCGCCCATCACAGGGCCCGGCCCCAAGCGACCTTTCTGATGCCCGATTGCCTGTGACGCAGCAGCATTCTCAGGCTCGAGTTGCCCTCCGCGACCTTGATGCCTCTGGTGGCTCTGCAGCGTGCCATTGAAGCCACCCGGAGAAGACGAGCGATCGATTGCCTGAAATCTCCGTGAAATCAAGGCCCGGCATGGCATCGTGTTTAAGGATGACTTTCGCCCAGGCATATCTCGCCCATCGACCTGAGTTGAAGCGGGAGCAAATGGCAGGTGCGCACTGTGCATTCCAAGCTATGCCCGATCTTTCTGAGAACAGCTGCAGCAACTTCACCGCGGTTGAAACAGCACTGAAGCAATTCGGTAGCTCTCGTGGCCACGATCAACTCACGGCTCCAACACAACTCCCAGTAGGAAGGTGCAAAGGAATGCGTAGGAGACATTTTTGGTTTGCGGCATTTCTAATTCAGCTGTCTGGTTGTCGTTCCCTCAAAGCTTGCTTTGGCTTCTTGGCTTCCGACTTCTGCGGTTCACATGCAGGCCGATCGTTTGAGGAAGCAGCCCAGATATTGCAGACTGACCTGTTCGAGAAGCAGGTGCATACGGAAGTAGCAGCTCTGAGCTGCAGGAAATACGCTGAAGCAGGGAACTGTGCCCCCTTTGCAAGGCTGTGCATGCCAGCACGCAAGACAAGCTGAAGAGGCCAACGTAGCTTCATGCAGCCGCTTCAGCTGGAACATGAAACAAGATTACAAGCAAGGCAGGTGAGCATGTCAGTCCTTTCCTTCTGAAGGTTGAAGCAGGCCAACAAGGCTCTCTTGCGTGCCTTGCATGAAGCAGAGGAGCGAATCTCGCAGGGTCCTTGGGGCGAGTCCTTGAGCCTGGGGCTCTTTGCAGCCCACACATTCCGAGCCCTCGCAAGACGAGGCGTTTGGAAAGTCAATGTACCGGCCGAACCTCTTCTCCATTCCATGTGGCAGCCGAGGTGGAATGGGGCATAACGTCGCATGTAGGGCTTTAGCCACGCTCTCGACCTAAGCAACTTCTGCTGAGCAGGCTTCTGCAGGCTCTTCCGCTTCGCGAACGTCCAAGACTGCAGCCCCTACTGCAGTACGGAGACCACCAGGACCCTAAGTGAAATGCATTTGCAATTGAGTTGTCAGAGATCGGTGAAGCAAGGACTAGACAAGGATGGAGGAATGAGCTCAGGCACAGATGAAGCAGAGTTGGCCATGTTATGCAGCCACGTGCGTTCATCAGTAGCCAGTGTAGCCACTTCAGTAGTTTGATGCAATTGTGCTGGAGAGGCGACGAAGCCGACTCCATGCCCAAGCTGCCGAAGTCTGCAGCAGAGGGCCGAGAAGCCACACGGTGGCCAGGACATTGCAAGAACTCCCAAGCCAAGCGTGCAATCAGGCTGTTAGCACAAAATCAAACGGTCACTTTTGGGTTTAGGGTTTAGGGCTTAGGGTTACGCCATCTAGACTTCTTGTGTCAGGACATACCACCATACTCATCTTTGGAGGCGATCCGGCACGGGAGAGTATGTATGGGATGCTTCCAGCACCACCAGCAGACTTAGAAGTAGCGCTCCTCTAAGACTTTTGGCACATTGAAAAGCACGCCGGGATAGCATCGTTAACCTCCCCATCACTCCCCATCTATCATACTCCCCATCTAGCCATAACAGGCCATGTATCTGAAAAATAGCCGTTGCCTCAGGTATGCTTGCAGTGCTGCTGTGTGCGCTTTGTGGGCTGGCAGCTGTTCCCTACCAAGTGCCTGCGACTCAGAGTGTCAAGAGTCAAGAGCTTGAGCTGTGCCATGGACTGTTGGACATCTTGAGGTTCGGTCGCGCCGCCACGCACTCAGACCATCTCTTTTCGTGTACCTGTGCCTTCAGAACTTCAGTCTTGAGCCTTTGGACCTCCCAAAAAGAAGCCTCGAAGGGAGCTCCGGAGCCACTCCAAGGGCCGGTTGCCTATGAAGGGGAGGAGGTGGACGAAGCGGAAGCATATCTCTGAGCCTCCCCAAAACCTCTCTCAGGTCCACCGCCGAACTGGACAGGCTCCATACTGATTTGTTGCGTACCATTTTGCAGATGTATAGAACCGAATCATTCTGTCAGCTGCTCAGGCAACAAAAAGACGTCAATCCTGCTCTCGCGCTGCAGTCCGCCCTGCAGCCCTTGGGTGCCCTTGGGCTTGGGTCGCCAAGCCATGAAGCATCATGACGCCCTCGGGCCCACTACGCTACAGTATGAGACAGTCTGGCCCACCGGTTTCCTTCATGGCAGGCTCGACCAGCTGCACGGGGGCAGCGCTGAAGAGAAGCAAAGGGCCGTCTTCATGCCGCGGCCCCAGAGCTGAAGGGGGCTGGGGCAACAGATGAAAAGAAGCTCGAATAAACTTTGTGTGGAAGGCAATTTCGATTCAATCGCTTGCAAAAGAAGAGAACGACCGGAGGGAAAAGGCAACTCTGAGTTTGGAATAATGTTGTGCCACCTTCTTCCCCCCACCTGACACAGAGGGCGGCCCCCACGGGGCAAGATTTCGGAGCCACTCCACCGCACCCGCATTGCCAGCGGGCCGCGGACTTGTAGAGCTTACCGCCAAAACAATGCGACGACTCGTGTGCTGACAAGGTTCTCGTCAGATCACACCCTCCCAATTCACACCCTGCTCCAGGCGACTTAAAACATGAAATTGCCGGCCAGCATCCTCAACTGCAGGTCATCTCGCGCAGTGACTCTGCATACTATAGAATACCAAAGCGACGCAGATCCAAGCATCCAAACAGAAATAAATTGTCACGCCCCTTGAATGTTCTGGTCACCGAGGGAACCACACGGCAGTCTGTTTGTGGCCGGTGTGTTCCAATTGCTGTGGGCAAAGGTTGGCACGTTGCGTTGGCTTAGTAGCCTTCAGGCTGAGAATCTTCGCAGCAGAGCACGCAGAGAATCAGGCATCGTTTGTTTTGCGCGGTGCCGTTGGACTGTGTGCAAACAAAGACTGGATGAGTGCTTGGCGCAGGCTGCAGTGGTCCAGTCCGGTGCTTTGCTTCCGCTTGTAGAGCTCCTGGGACATGATGCGCAAGGAACCGAGACTTCACTTCCTGCGTCGACGTGAGAAAGACTAGGGAGTTTGTGGGACTGTTAAGTTGCAACAGGTCAGGGCTGCGAGAAGAAGCAGCGCGGGCTTTGTGGAATCTTGCCCGCAACAACAAGGAGACTCGACACATGCTCACCTTTCCCAGACCGATCCTATGCAGCAATATCAATGGGAGCGAGAGCACCTTGCACATGCGACAGGAGATCAACGCCTACAACCAGGCGCCGAGAAAAAGGTATGCTTGAGGCTGCAATTGATGAGACCCGCAGGTGGCGATCAGCCGTGCGGGCGCCATCCCGCCTTTGGTCCGCTTGTTGGAGGACGACGAGCCGCGGGCCGGGACCCCTTTCTCTGCGGTGCTCGCACGCGCTACACTGTTCCACATTGTTCCACATTGTTCCACACTCTTCAGCACAGCTGCCCACTGGTTCGACACAGGCTCGACACAGGTTCCACACGGGTTCCACACTGGTTCCACACTAATCCGCACTGTTCCATTGCCTAGATACGCGTGGTTGCGGCAGCAGTCTTGCCGCGGCCCCAACACATGCTCGCAGTCTGAAGGTTGTGGACGGCGCAACACTGTTTAGGAACGACTTGGCTGCAGACAACTCCGAGAACCAAGTGGCAATCGCGCAAGGAGGCTCCAGCACATCTTCCTACCTCTGTTGCCTGAGCTGTGATCCCAGGGGTATCCTTGGGAAGGACGGCTTCGAAGGTGAAAGGATTGTAGGAGCGCGGGCGAATTCTAAGTTTGCTTCTTGCAACCGATGGCGCCAGGACAAACTGAACTACTTCAAAGCAGTTTTAAATAATGTTTTACTAGCTCTTCTTCAGCCATTGTGCAGCCCGTGGGCCCGTTGTGCAGCCCGTGGGCCTGTAGTTCTGAAATGTAGGCTCCCCAGGAACTAGTACCAGAAACGGGAATGTCGCTGAGATGCTTGACCATGCGAGTGACCGCCGTATTACCCCAGACCTTGCAAGTATTCAAACCTGGCCCACTCCCGCTCCTAGGGATCCAGCCACAGGAATTGAAATGCATGGGCATACAATGGATGGGGAACTTGTCGATGTACTTCCCTGTCAACAGACGCGTGCCTTCTGACATTGCCATCCGATGCGTGAACGTCACCATAATCTCTGCGCGTGCTTTGTGATGAATGCCGACAGCTGCGCAGGTGCCATCGGGCCTTTGGTGCGCATACTCAAGCGAGATGAGGCTTCCTCGGTCGAGGATCTGACGTATCTGCAAGTGTTTTGCAGTACTGCAATTACGTTGCAACGGGGCGCTTGGAAGGCTCCCGCGCTTGTTATGGCTGCCAGTCTTCTGAAGAACTTGGCAGCTACCACGGCTGGTGACATGCAGGCTGTCCTATTTTGGCACAAGCCTAGTGTCAAGCGGTCAATGCATTCAGCAGACTAGCTACTGCGCTGCTGCTATTGAACTCTTGCTAGGTTTTGTGTCTTCTTACGAGACTCGAGGTGACTGCCGCATTATCCTCCGCGGTACCACCGCTGGCACTCACCTGAGCTTGTTGAGAGCCGCAGCATTGACGGGCAGTTTTAGTCAAGAATTCGCCCTTTGTTGTCCGACACTCACATGTTGAGGTGGCGCTTCTGCGGGCTGACACGCTCCTCGCCCAAGAGCAGGACAGGACGCATAAACTTGCATTGGAGCAGTGTAGCTGCAGCCTGGAAATGCCCGGTGGCCAGTTTGGCAGCTTTGTCAGGCGGCCTCTACACTAGGGGCGCTTGCAGCGCACAGCCGTGGGATTCAGGTGGGATTGATCTAAACGTCCTGGCTGGCGAAGCGCAAGTGTTTCAACTTTGGGGTTGAAGGACGTTGGGCTTGCGGGTTTTGGAGACATTTCAGGTTCGAAGCGTTTGGGTTTCAGGTAGGGTCTGAGGTTGACTTTGAGAGGTTCAAGATGGTTCAGGTATAGGTTTTGCTTCATATAGACCCTCACCAAAGTCCGCGATGGGGTTGGCATCTTTGAAAAGCACAGAATCCTTATCTTAAAGCAAATTTGCGGTGGTTTGAATGCGTGATCGTCTTGTTTGCTTTGCCCATGGCCAGGCTGCTATCGCCCGCGAAGGGGCCGTGACGCCCCTGGTGGAGCGGCTGCATGGAGACATGATGAAGGCGGCTGAGGGAGGGCTGTCAGGGCAGCTGGGCCGTCCATGTGCAAACGCGCTGACATCGCTGGCTTGCCCGTGCCAGGGAACCGCCATTGTGGCGCTGAGAAATCTGGCTTCTCAAAATGCCGAGAATCAGGCCAACATCGCCAAGGCAAGCTGTTTTCCAAAATCGTGGCGCAACTTTCGAGTTTCGCGCTTCTTTGCGGCAGCATCCTTCGCACCTAGCAATGGCAGTGGGCAGTGGGCACCACTAGCACTCGCAAACAGGCAGGCGCGGTCGTGCCGCTGGTCAAGCTTCTCGAAGATGGAATGCGGGGTTCCTGAGCCAGCCAATACCAGACTTGGCTTTCAGAATCTTTCAGATGAGACGTCAAGAGGAAAGCATGCACAAGCAAAAGAAGAGCACGTTCAGAGATGTTCAGAGAATATGGTCAAACTTATGAGACCGGGACTGAGGCCGGCAGTACGCGAGGAAGCTGCACAAGCCCTTTGGAACCTCGCACAAGCCAGGGCCTGAAATGGCAGAATTTGTGCTGCATGCAATTTTCTGTTGGCCTCATTCTGATGCTTTAAACTTTAAGCAACATATCTTTTTTTTGCTGCAGCATCACAGGACAACATGGAGAATCAATTGGCCATTGTACGCGCAGCAGACTTACGTCCGAGCTTGGTCTCCAATCCCCAAGACTTTGCATATGCGATTCATGATTCATTGTATCTCATGATGTTTCGGCACGTTTCATTCCATTCCATTACGTTTCTTCGAGGCTGGAGGTTCTGCACCCATGGTTGCACTCCTCAAGGGAGACATGCAGGAGCAGGACGACAGAGTGCTCATGTCGTGATCTGTGTAGTGCCGTGGCGGTGCGCTTTCCACCAGTGCTCATGACGCATGTCCGACCTCTGGGCGCCCCCACCCCCCATTGGAAGCTCGAGATGCGTGTGTATTATATTGGGGGGATGATTTTAACCAAATGTCATGTGGTCCAAAGGGTGTAGTCTAGGCTTCAGGGTTTGGAGGGTTAAAAGTACTTAACTAGGG